CATATGCGCCCTGTATACGCTCTGTATGCGCGCAGCGCGCTAGCAACACGCTGTGCATTCGTTGTCAACTCGCTAGCTTCTCCCAAATCCTGACAAAAGTTGGGCGCACAACGACGCACTGATCTATTTTCCATTTTTTGATTAATTTTCAGTGCGCGGGCCGTGCGTCGTGTATGTGTGACAGGCCAGCTGCTAAAGGCAACGTCGCTACAGAATAGTGACGCAAGACTGACTTCCTACGCACATACAAGGAGTAGGAATACACCGAATAATTTCAGTATTTTTGTTTTTCGAGTGATGACGCAACAATACGTTTGATACAGCGCTGCCTTCATAGCAAATAAAGGTCAATGAAACGACAAACAAGGTGCGTACATATTTCCTTAAAGATTAATCTCTAATGAATCTTTTAGTGCGTGAAACAGTGACATCCGTGCGCAAGGGTTTGCGTTACTTACTCTGGCTATTTTCAGATGTTCCTGTAAGCGAACTAGTAGGTTGAGACTGGTTTGATAAGCCATGGACACATAGTAAAGAATTTACGTAAAGAATCGGATATTGGGAAAAATTCGTGAAGGGTATAGCTCGCTATTCCCTCTCATCAGGAAAAAGGGAGTCATTTACAGTTTTACTAGCATTAGACGTTATGAATTTTGAGAATGGACACTACATTTCTACTTGTTTCATAAAAACTTGACTATCCAAGTACAAATACTACTAGGAATATTATTGGCGAAGAACGTGTTAATATATATTTCACTTCATGAGATGACCATTTATAAACGAAAAACTACGCTGAATGTAGGAAATAGTATTTACACCAGTGTGTACCATTTTTATTTCAAAATGCAAAGACAATGACTTCCTGAACAACAGCGTTTACGTACACCACATTACAACCTACTCGTTTCCTAGGAATGAAACGACAATGTTGCATAGTACAGTCTTCACACCACAGCCAAAAAACCACACACCGAATTCGTTATAGCAATGACACTGGCATGCAAAGACGCGCGCGCCATCTATAGGGCCAGGTCCAGAGATCAGCTGCGTGTACCCGCTAATCACTTGCACAACTCTGTAGATGTACAATAGAATCTGCAGTTTATAAACAGCGTCGCATATCTCTGCATGACACTACATCAAGATCGTGGCAGCCAGTATCAATGCCAACACATTTACTTTTACTTATAAATCTCCGACCACAGACAGGGCAGCTAAGGACACGCACATGCACGTACAAAAACAAATCCCTCGATTGCCGTGAAATAAAACTTTACAACTTTGCTACATTATCTGTAGCAATTCTTATTCAAAACATAAAAACAACAACCGTCTCATAGTTATAGCCTAGTACAGATTAGACTGAATGTCGACGAATTGTACACAGACCAAAAGTTACATCTAATTAATGCAATTATTGCATTGAAATCTTTTGAATATGCTAGCCCGGCCGAACAAAGTCCATAAACATGCTCTCCAAAACGGATTCAATTTATTTTCAAAAACCCTTCCCACCCCATAAAAGATCCATACATGATAATTATAGATGGTAATAACTTAATAGTTGAAAGCTTTCCAGACGAGATGATGCAGAGTCGTCGAAGTGGAGAGATCTAAAATTCGTCATGTTCGTGTGTGTGCTTCTCTTCATCCTCATCGTCCTCCTCCTCCTCCTCCTGCAACAATCACCACCACAGGATTAGTAGCAAATAACGGCCTATCGAGGAACTCAAAACAATTTCACAGCTTAACATGAGTACACCAGTAATCCAGGTTGACGTATCATTGCACAACGACATTTACCACTCCCAAACTCTGCAATAATTTCCGTCGCATCTAACATACTAACGAGGGAAAAATTACCTCCTCGTCCTTTTCAATTTCATCTTCATCTTGCTCCTCATCATCTTCATCCTCATCCTCTGCAAAATACACAATTACAAAGCCATTTATTTATGTAAACATCAGCCCACTTTAATATTTAGAGGTGTTGTGTACATGAATTGGTTTATGTATGTGCAGGTGCAGTTAACCGAAGACTCCACATTTAATTCTCCAGTTTTTCCAGTAAAAGTCCTGCAAGTTTGTTTTCCAAAGAGATAATTCTTGAAATGCTCACATGCAGAGCAATCAAGCAGTACACTTTGGTCAATGTATGTTATTCATTTATACCATTCTCATTCCTACAGAAATGGCTGCCAATTGAATGAAAGAAATTTAATGCTTTCTAAAGAGTAGAGCTCAGCAAATTTACAACTTGTAGTAAAATCCATTAATTTTTTAAGCAGTTCAACTGGATAAAATTTTTACCGTCTCCCTCCTCATCCTTTCGTCTCGCCTCCTCCTCTTCCCTCTTCTTTCTTTCCTCTTCATCTTGTGCATCCTTCACCTTCTTCTCAGCCTTCTGTAAGACCAATATAAATGGGCAGATATTAGTTTCATTATTACAGTGACCACAGTTAAGTCACTCTGCAATTAGGCGCAATCACTCATTATGCTAGCTATGAACATAATGACAAAACAATCTTTTCATTGACTGAATTTCACATTACAAAAAAAAAGTTCTGATAACAAACCTTGGTCGCTTCGAATGTTTCCTTTGCATATTTAGAGGCAAACTCTTCATCGTCTGTGACGAGGAAGTTATCAAATATCGACCCCGATTTCACCTGCAATGTAGAGCATGCATTAGCTCTTATATGGCAGGGGGTTGTTTGCTGAGCACCAGAAAACAAGGAAACAGTTAAAAACAGATAGCAATTTAGCAAATAAACATCTTTTTGTACTTCCTTGAATAATAAGGTTAAATGAGTGTTACTCCGTAACTAGTTACAAAGTCATGATGTGTAATAACTACAGTGCTCAACTGATGCCCATCAACAATGACATGAACTAACTGAATACAGATTTTCCAATACAGTAATAAATACATTGTCCTTCAAGTACAGATAGAATATCCCATGTATATAATAGTAAAGATCAAAGATCAATTAGCATAAAATAGGTGCTAATCTCGCGTACCTGCCACAGGTCAAGGCCAATTGCACCAATGTTGGTATATTTGTAGAGGTTAGAATCTTCTTCGTAGTCTGGGTTATCAATTTCTGGGTGTGTCCACTTGCCAGAATAGTTGGGGTTGTCAATCTGTTTTGGCTTCCATTCTCCCTGAAGAACAAAACCATGTCCATTGCAACTTTAATATAATAGGAAATACACGTGCACCTAACTTTCACATTTCCAAGAGGAAAACAGGTTACAAATCCCCCCCCCGCCAAATATTTTTTAAACACGAACACACATACTAATCTTTTCTACGTTTGACAATAATATCCCTATATCACCGTGTTAACATAGACAAACTACCCACCACATCTAAAATGAAAGTGTCAATGACACTGTAGCTCACATTGGGTGTGATAGAAGAGGGAGGGGGATATATAAAGCAAGAGTATATAGCATATCTCCCATTATATACTCTTGATAATGATATATGCATAAGTTTTGATGCGAAAATAAACGTTTCAGATCTGAAAGTCTGAAACCTTGACGAGAGATGGCGCTACGCCTAAATGATTGCCATTTTGGTTTTCGAATATCGCGCAAATAAAAACAATAAAATATTCAAGTCAAATTAGTGTAACGAAGAATCTAAAACACAATGTTACACGTATATAGGTATGATTGTAGAGTTGTTAACCAGTTAGACGAAATAAACGTAATAGGACGTTGTCATCTCTCCCATAAGAGTAACAACTGTTTTGGGGCTAGCCTTACACATTCATATACCAAAATTGAACAAAATCGAATGAATCTAGATAGCCATTTTTATTTTTGCCAAAAAGTGGGCGTGGCTCAAAAATAGATGACCGGGTGTGCTCCAAAATAGGACGTTCAAATCTCTCCCATAGGAGTAACAACTGTATTCATTCACATACCAGAAATGAGCAAAATCCGTTGAACCTGAACTGACTTATGGCCATTTCCATTTTTTGCCAAAAAGTGGAAGTGGCTCGAAAGTAGGTCGACTGGCGTGCTCCAAAATAGGACGTTCAAACCTCTCCCATAGCCATAGGAGTAACAACTGTATGCAATTTGAAACATGTGGGTCAAACCGTCTTGAGTTATCGTTGACTGTAGCCAAATGTTGATGGACGGATGGACGTACGACGAACGACACCCCATGGCAATAGCTCATCTTGACGATGTCAAGGCGAGCTAAAAATGCAGGGTTTGCTGTCCAGTACCTTGTAATCTGGGTTGTCGATCATCGGGGCTTCCCACTCTCCGTCCATCTCATCATCCCAGTCTTCGGGTTTCTCGGCATCAGGGTCAGCAATGTGTTCTGGCTGCTCCCAGTCCTCGGGCATCGTGTCATCTGGGTCGTCCATCTTCTCACGATCATCCCAATCTTCTGGCTTCTTGGCATCAGGATCCTGACAACAGAACATGAAATGCATTTAGGAAAAATGTCACTAGGCTATATTATCCATAGACTACGTTCCAAATGCAGTGTACAAAAATCCCAAAATTAATTTGAAGTACTTAGTGGTCTTTCAATTCAATGATATACTTTCAAAGATGACAGCTATCTGTTGGTAGTTGTGGTACTTTAGATACAACAAACAAAAATCACAAATAATTATAATTTAATTAGGGTTAGTTGGGAGTTTACATGTAAAATTCGTACCTTGATCTTCTTGGCCGGGAGGAAACTCCAGTCCTTCTCTAGTTCACCACTCTCCACCTTCTCATTATCGATCTTGACGACATAGGTGTTGTCTGGTTTCACGATGAGTGTGTACAGGTGAGTAAACTCATCATCCTAAACAAAGAGTAGCACATATATAACAACTGACGATGGTCTGAGAAAGCTGCACATGCAAATTTGAAATGAAATGAATGTGGACAAATAAATCAAATAATCTGGCTTTTACCACGCAGTAGCATGCTTTGAGCAACGTGACATTCTGTACATCTCATATCACAATCGCCCACATTTTCACTGGACATTTCTGAACAACAAAGGATAAATTGATGTCCCCACTTTTAACACCCAACACTAATACCGGAAACACCATCTCAACGACAGTAAATAATTTTGCAACCATTATATTACAACAGGGGTCTCCATTGGACTCCCTACCCTCAAAAAGAGAGAGTCCGCAGCAAAATGAGGGAGTCCGCAGTCTGACGTTCAAAATTAAAGATATTAAGAATAACGCATGTGCTTATTTTTAAGATTCTGCCAAATTTTCTTTGGACATTAGCTGAAAAAATACAGTAATTCCGTGAGGCCGTGCTACGAAACGAACTATTTAGTATGGCAGAATTTTCAGGGAGTCACACAGACTCCTGCATATGTCAAATCAGGGAGTCCGACAGTGAATCGGAGTATTTGACTACGGACTCCCGTTAATTTCGCAGCCTGTTACAAGCATGATAAAATTTCCTGCCAGACGTACCTTGCACCTGATATCTTTGTTAATGAGAAGGTTATTGTCCTTGTAGTTGAAGATGACATGCACCTTCTTAGTGCCTGGTCCACAGATGTCTGGGCCTATATAGTGAGAATACTTACTCTTAGGATGAGATGCAATTCTTTTATAATGAATTTACATTCACAGGCTAAACGTGAACATTTTGCAAGAATTATCAGCCAGAAGATTGACCTGTACTATAAACTACTGATACATCAATGAATACCACATACGATTAGTGCAGTAGAAATGCACAGGGATGCATCCCTTTACCTACCAAACATAATATGATATGGTGCATCGCCGTGCAAGTCTTTCTGATTGACAGTGTCTGGGTACACCTTGACATAGCCTCCACCACAGTCAATCTTCTGTTCATGTTTCACCTAGATATTAAACAACAACAGCTGGCAGTTAGTGCTATTCACATCAGAATTATTGGTACCTGATGCATCAGTTTCAGTTCCCATGTTCCTGATCAGTGAAGTTGAGTTGTAATCACAGTCTTTACGACTATTTAGTCTAACATGTGTAAAAAGCATCATCTCAGGAAACGGGTAAAGACGAATGAAACACTAACTTTAAAAGGCAACACAAACTACGGTTGCATATATTAATGGTAAACTTGTAAAGTACTAATTTTAGTTAGTTTTTGGCAGATTGGCAAGTTTATCATGATAATACCCACGCACCTGGAATTGAATGACAAGGGTCTTTCCTTCATTGCTAAATGATTCATCAAACTTTCGGGACGACATGTAAAATTTAGCATCCTGTGAAGTCTGGAGACCTGGGAATGTTTAAGTAATAGGAATTATCAAACAAACATGATTAATTACATAGCACTGCAATACAACACTTTCAAAGGCGAGAACTAACAGTATACGATTCACAATTTAAAACTACATAGATATAGCAATTAAGAACAGTAACAATGATTGACAACATTTGCCATAACAATGATCTTATGACAATTCCCCTGCTTTTAAACTATTCAACGTAATCTGCAACATGAGATTCATTTATTAATGTTCAGACACAGCCTATTGAACAGCACTGCAATACGAAAACTAAAGTTACATCAGATTACAATCCATTCAATTTACCCAAATGCATTTAACCCTACCTTTGTCCTTTTCGGCATCGCCATAAAATTTCCCTGCAGACAAGACAAGCTTGCCGTAATCATCTTTGTGGGATGACTGTACCCAGTTTTCAGACCAGCTGTCATCTGCAGCAGAAAACAACCTCACATATATACAGAGCTCTGTATTAATCTAGACACGGGTGGAATGAACTGTTGTTGTAGGTTTAAGTAGGAACTTTGGGGGATCACAGCCTGTTAGATGGGAATCGAGGCAAGCATTTCCTTCAAAGGCGAGGCACCATGACAATTGACTTCTTAGAAATACTGTGTGGATCACAGCAAACTACATACCAACAACAGAATTTATGGGAAGAGCACAAAGGCAAACTAGACGGGGCCGTTTATCGGTCCATTCTCGTGGCAGCATGGGAAGTAAGGAGGCTTAAGGAGCTGTGGGTTCTGTGGTGAAATACAACCCACATATCAGATTTATACTGAAACTCACCTGAATTACTTTGCTCAAATCGAACAATTGCATATGTGTGACTGTTATGGAAAGTATAGCAATGTATAACACTGTTTCAATTCCCTAGAACACACTACTGCTACACAAATGTACAAAGGAGGAACATAAACTTAACAGCTAGTTACCTTATTTAGCTGTTAACAAGGTAAAGCAACATCTTTACATTTTTGGATGTACCCCTAAAGATGGTAGATTATATAGTACAATTAATTTTAACTCATGCATGAGCTAACCATCTGCCAACACTGGTAAACTTTTCCACCTGTAACCTAGATTAAAATTAGGGCATGCTTAGGTCAGATTTGATATTTCATAGCCTGCAGCACTCTGCCATAATGATATCAACCAGACCATTTATTACTAGATAACTACCGTACCTTCCGAAAGGCAGCAACTATTTAGAAGCCAAGACAAGAGGCTCACGTTATGTTACATTAGATTGACGACAAATGAACCAGGGCATTCGCCATTTGATAATACCCACAACAAGAGGCGCAGAGCATCTGGGCTCACCTGAGGTCTGTTGCTACGGTTATAAACGTAACATTTAAGTCGTGCGTAGTGACACCTTTGTTAGGCGCAGATATGCAGATACGCAGTTGCGTACACATCATTTCAGCAACCTTCTGCATTCTGCATACCTCCCAAATCCCATTGGTTGATACAAATCGCGTGCCTGAAACTCCTGTTTTATGGTGCATTGTTGCCCTAACCCTAACCCTATTAAAAAATAATAATTTAATTGTTATGAAATTGTTGTAAATAAATCATGTAAATATTTGCGATAATTGGGAAAAAATAGTAAAATGGATAAAGATAGAAAAATACAGTAAACAGGTAAATAATGAAAAATCTGATGGGATTCGATCCAAGGACCTTTGAGCCGTAATCCTGTGCTGTAGCTGTTGGGCTATCCAGGCTTATTGGCTTTCTAGATTATGGATGTGCCATAAATATGAGAACACTGACATCATTGAGGCAGTTCAGAAATCATGTTTAACCCTCCTCTTGAGGGTCAAAAAGTTATCAGACACTTACTCTTCGCACGTCAGTGGAAAGCACATTTCATGGTCCTTTCAATAAAGTGATAAAAATGGTAGGCCAGCGCTGAAACAAAAAAGTTTCCCACTCTGTCCGTTAGGCCACGTCCTCAGAAAATGTCTGATATCTGACCTTTCCCACCCACTGCCCTTTGACCTGTGACCTCCAATTTCGCACTGGTGATGGGTTTCCTGCCCATCACACTATACACCGAATATTAAGAGCATAGGTCGAGCCGTTCAGATTTGTGCCGCAATTCCGTATTTCCTCCTATACCTTAAAGGGAGAGTTTACTCTAGGTTCTAGGGTTATTTTCAGCTAATTTAGGTTATAATTACGCTACATAAAAAGTTTCATGGTTCAATCATCATTAGAAATATTTTTTTTCAATGTTTTAAAACTAATGACTACAGTCTGATTACAACGACGGTGGCGCCACTCAAAGCGCACGATCTGATAAGTTACGCAAAACCACTTTCCAGCCAAGGGCTACAGACCGAGGGTGTTTCTTATTTATTCACTTAAAAGCAAAAGAATTGTAATATCTTATAAACGACATAGTTTCAGTTATAATATGGATAAATTTGCCCTAAAATGAATATCGTTCGGTTAAATAGCATTTAGGTATAAATATAATTGCACTTTTGTGATTAGCCCTCGGTCTGTAACGTGCAAAATAAATTGTCAAATACGCAACTTTTTCGGGGTGTCAGCACGGTCGCGGGTGTCATGGCGCCGTTCAAATTTCGTAGCGTTGATGTGTAATTAATTATAACAATTAAATTAGGTATCTGGTAACAAATACGTGTGGGTATCGACTAATTGTTATACAGTAAGTACAGTTGTATGCAGTAAAATCCTAGAGGCGACTGTCCCTTTAAGTTAAGGGGGAAATATTCCCCCTCCGTCTACACATCTTGACCTTTGACCCTTGACCCCCAAATTGATCATCCCAAGTCCTTTCCATGATCCCCCCACGTCCCGAATATCGTGCCCGTACGTCGAGCAGTTAAGATTTGTGCCCAACTGTTGACGAACGGACGGACGGACAATCATGCGATTCTACAAGCTGCATCTGACTACGTCAGATGAGCTAAAAATGTGTAAATGTTTGAAATGTTTGAAGTGTGCGTACGGTATACACGCAGGATCACTGAACCGGTTCGACTTGTTCCAAGTTGTTGGTCAAAACGCACCCAACCCTACTCATGCCGATGTCCACCAATTGTCCCACATTCTGATCAGTGGGCAGGTAATAAAATGTTTTGTAATCCTTAAATTACTCATTTACTGTCTCTTGGACCATGCCGCGTAGTATGACTTAGTACTTTGCTCTAAAACTGGTTGAATACACAAGAAATACAACAAAATAGCGAACGATAATCGCCATGCACTGCTAATAATGGCAATATATCATCGCCTGTGAAACGCGGGTAGTCGCCGGCATCACATACACCGAATTATATTAGTTACAAAGCAAAACTTACCTAGGAATTCATCTTTGAAGTAGACTGTTGGTTCTCCAAAGACGACAGCAATAAGAACGGCGAAGACGAAGAAGGACCTCATTTCGGCTACGTCTAGGTTTCCCTGTCACTGTCTAGGACCGAACACGACTTTCCTACAGAAAATGTGCTAAAGGTGCCATGTGATCTGTACAGATGGAGCTATACGATTCGCCAACTCTTACCACGTGGGCCGACAGCTGGATATTGATGATTGGTTAGAAGTTTCCATCGAATCACAGAGCACCACGCTTAGCGAACCCGGTGCTTACGTCATATCCGGGTTAAAGTTTACGTAATGTTGAGAATGCGCCACTGGAATGCAGTCACACTTCACCACTTCAACTTCCTTGCCAAACTGTTTCCTGCTTGGGAATATATATATATCATTTGTTCTCCTGTTCATCTGACGTTCACCGTTTCCTCCTAATTTTATTTTCCCGTCTTCTCATGTCCTGTGTGTTTCACCCCTCCGTCTTCTTATCATCCTTTATTTTCTCTTCTAACCCACCACGTACGTCCCCTCCATTCGTCGTCATTATGTCTTCTCATTCTCTTACATTTCCCCGCACCCGGCAGATAGGTGCGATATGATATGACTACTAGGCAGGATATGACTACTAGGCACTTAAAAAAACAACCTAACCCTAACCCTAAAAAATTAAATTAAATTAAAGTGCCTAGTAGTCATATCATATCGAACCTTTCTGCCTTCTGCCATTTCCCCATCGGCAACGCCACGTTTACATGCATATCCTGCAGACACAGTCACTGATTGTCTGCGTCTCTGATCCTATATCTATATCAACTCGTTGTCAACATTATCGTTGTCATTATTAAATGTGGTCAAGCGCCATAATTAAATTGTGTAATTTATGCGATTTTGACCTGATGTAACCATGTCCAAGCACATCATATATAATATATATATATATATATATATATATATATATATATATGTTATATATATAATATATGTATATATATATATATATATATATATATATATATTATATATATATATATTATATATATATATATATATATATATTATATATATAATATATATATATATATATATAGAATTAGAGTAATAAAGGGAATTATTTAATACCTCTATACCTCCCCTATTATCTATTCTGATATATGTTTTATAATAGTATGATACTATAATTATCATATATATATATATATATATATATACGCCTAGAAAATACGCCAAGCACATTAAATGAAGATCAATGATTAAACAAAACTCATGATGCGAGTATTACATTTACCAATATGCAGGTTAGTATATATATTAACTAACTCATTTTATTTTTGGGGAAAAGGGTAAAGCTGCGCACGGGTTGTGTTGTAGGCCCTACGTGAGCATGCAGCTAGTGAACAATGGGCAGTTAATTCGTTGTTGGATATTGATCTGGTAGTAATATCTAATCTTTATTGGTCTGGAGGAAACTGAGCCTTGGAAGTATACCCGTACGCGTGCAACCCTTTTCAGCGATCGAGCTGATTAGCCGTTTCGCCCCATACGTGTGATGCATTCAATGCCATTTCTACTTTCCAGTCCACATACGTCCGAATTTACGGATACAGATGAAACTGTTTTAGTACGTGTCCCGAACATGTACAAGTTTGTTTTTTGTTTTTGGTGGCCGCAATTTTTCAACTTGAAACACTCTTGAATCTTCCACACTTAATCGGAATTATTTTTTATATTTATCGTATCGCTGATGACGCGCATTCTATAATAAAAGAAGAAGAAGTTATTAATAGATTTAAGAAGCAAATATCGCTTAGACACTAAGTAACCAAGTTCCATTTATCAACAAACTGTATCAAATTGTTGAATCGAACGATTAGATACTTAATTTGGTGCATTTGGGATAGTGGGTCACGCTACAAACGGACGCGGGCGCCCCTCCCCCCTGCCCGCTATAAAGCTGCACGGTATACCGCGTATTCGGCACGAATTTCACATTCTACATTCTACAACCATGAACTACAAGTCTACAACCACTCGAAAAGTTCATTTACCAGCCGCCCACCTGCTGCATACGTGTGGCATTACACCAGCACGCACGCGGCTATGGTCGTTACTGTTATGCGTGGTCTACATTTTATCAGGAGTGAGTAAATACAAACTGCTTTGTTTCTTTTGTGATTGTCTTGCTTTGTTTCAACAACTTTATTTATATTCACTCTTGATTTGACTATGTAGTTTATTTTCACATTATAAATATGGGAGTATTTTATAGAGTCACGAGACTATAATACTATATAACCTTCACAGAGAAAATATCACTCTATTTATTATATATATTCTTTTTCATCTATTGAAATGAAATAAAATATGATACCTATAATTATTGTATCTACAAGTATAACTACCGTAATGACATGAACTACACACATATTTAGTTCTCTCCATACACTGCCTCTTCGGAGATGACTTTTACATCTTAGTTAATTTATTACTCTACATAATCCATCCTCGTATCGGCTGGATTTCTTACCTTATATTATTACCTCTCATTGAAAACATTGAAAACGTTAAATTGATCTAAACATTGAAAACGTTTTGCTCTAACAGGTGGCGCTGCTAGGCAGCTCTGGCTCTGCCCAGGGTCCAGTAATCGTGAGTTTTTGAGGTTAGTTTCATCTTCGCATAAATATTGGTTGATACTCCATTAGGAGTGTTCCCAACTTTAATGTCATTAATGGTCATAATAACATATATATAATATATATTTATGGTCATGGTCATATATTAGTTTGTGGTTTAATGTCATTTAGGTTAGGGTTAGGGTTAGGGTTAGGATTATCAATCATTAATCATTAATGATATAAAAGTTGGGAACACTCCTAATGGAGCGTTAGCCCTTATATATTCGCATAAGGTTCGCATCATCTTCGCTTGTATTACACCTATTGTGAAACTATATTTATCACATATAAAGTATAATTATAACTACTAAGTTTGTCCTATGCATTGATATTTTCTAGTTGTCGGAACCGCCTGATGCAACGTCAGTCGGCGCATTGCCATTGCCATTGCATTGGTACTATTAAAAGTAAGTAAGGCGGCATTGTCACGATGAGGGCCGTTCACATCCTTACGCGAATACCGGGGCTGGGTGCAAGCGTGCAGCAGCTGATGCCTGCCGTCACAGTGGTCGATCACAGCGCCAGCGTCGAAGAAGAATCGATGAAGCCCCTCGAACAGTTCGCGGGACTGGCGGAGGCAGAGGTGCTTCTTGCAGATCCCGACCTCGCCGCTCAGGTCATCAACAAGCTGCCCAAACTGCAGTGGCTGCAGTGCACATGGGCGGGCGTGGACAGGATCATGGATAGCGTGGCCGAGCGTCCGGCTGCCAGGATCACGCGGTTTGGTGGCGCGTTTGGCCCGGCCATGGCCGAGTACGTCATTGGGCAGATTATCGCTCGTGAGCGCAACTTCGAGCTAATGAGGGAGCAGCAGAAGAAAGTTTACTGGTGGCAGGCGCCTTTCAGGAGTTATCGGCTATTGTCCACTCTCTCTATCGGGATTCTTGGAACGGGCGATATAGGGAAGGAAATTGCCCGCATATGCAAACTCTTTGGCATGAAGGTTTGGGCAATGGTAAGAACGATACCAACAGAGCGGAAGGAGTACATTGACGAATACAGGTAAACATTAGGTATTTGTCTTGTATAACAAGAATAACTCTCACAAGCTTCATTATATTCTCGATATACCACAACTTCATTAAAGAATGCTAGTTTAGTTAGAATAATTAACTACATTGTGCCACATAAGATTTATAATTGTATGAATGTATACATATAATTTTGCTGTATAATTTCTCAACAGGACAAATGATGGCCTAGCAGAGATTTTGTCTGCTTGCGACTACATCTGCAGTGTGTTGCCAAATACAGTTGAAACCAGGGGCCTTCTTAATGGCACTCTACTAAAGAATTGTATGCCAAAGAAAGCAGTTTTTATTAATGTTGGCAGAGGTAGGTAAAATATAAATCTGTTAAATTCTTCCACAATCTACACAATTGTAACGTGTTTAGCACTGTTTACAGTCATGTATATTGCTCATCATATACATTAGCCTGGTGAGTTGGACACACCCACTCAGCTGTGTGATCCAGCAGCAGCCAATAGCAGCACATCTTGGCAGTCTGCTGTTAGCAAGCAATTCTCTGTTCAAGTGGACGGTTTTGTACACGCCATTAAAACATAAGAAAAAATCGTGTCTCGATTACTAACTCTCTTTTCTATGCACTGAATCACATCACAACATTCAAGTGACATCTTATGGACATCTAGATGAGTGTGTGTCTGGGGCGATTTCAGAGTAGCGTTTTAGTGGGTCAGTCCTGATGTTTACAGTACATTGCCAAAAATTCTCTAAAAAATCTCTGATGCGTATTCCCAAACCACATATACTCCGTGTCTACCTGACCATTTCCTTTCAGACTTTCTCGATCCAGCTCATTGTGTGCATATTTTATGGCAATCTATATGTAACATCTATTCCTGAATCCCATTTGCACCCTCTAGACGGACTTGCGGCCCCGGTTTTTGCGCGCAGCGCACAGCTCGCTGGCAAAGCCGCGCCCCAACAGCGTATACGCCGCCCCCTTTTTGTCCCCTTAGACAGATACCTTAGACAGGGGTCTGAAAACGCACTGCGCGAAAACTGGGCGCAATCCAACCGACATTTCGGGATGGACGGCAGGAGGTCATCTCCAAACGGCCCCTAAACTTTTTTTGGGGTGGTGCGCCTCATGGCTAAGACGTTGTGGCTCCTACAAGAAAATGCAAGAAATGCTGTCAATCAGCGATGACGCGCTCGCTCATTGGCCGCTACGCGATGACGGGCACTACTGCCGAGTATAGAGTTTTGTCTATCACAGAGCTTTTTACGAAGTGTCGTACGGCGCTCCACATGGGGGGGCGCGGTCTAGATGCTATCTGCAAATGCGATGCCGCCGTTACGGCGTCTGGCTGCGTACGTGCCATGTTTTGAGCAACCTCCTGACCCCGCGCTGCCCGTGGCAACGGCACGTCGTGCGAGCACCTGCGCTGGCGTGGCCGGCGAATACTGCGAGCACGTGGTGGCGTGGCCGTGCCAGTTTTTACACGTAGCTAATCTGTAGATACTGGCAAAGCAGCCGCAGCAACAAATACTCGCCCCTGCCGCGCAGCGCGCAACAAGCAAGCAGCAGCAGCAGCAAATGCCCGCCGTAGCCGAGCCGGTGTAGGTGTGACGAAAACTGCGCGATGTTACGCTTCCCGCTATACGGATTCGCGCGCCCACCCTCCTTCGGCGCGCGAATTCGTATAGCGGGCAGCGCGAGATGCTACATACAACATTGAACATACCGCGGTCGCGTGCGCCCAGTCCCGCGGAAGTGCGCGGTTTAACCGCTCTTGGCGGTCGGGGAACAACGCATCTTTTGCGCAACGCCATCTTGTACCCGGTCTCTCTTGATATAACTGAGACTCTGAGAGTACATTTATAATATTAACAGTATAGTAGTAGAATAGATTGTAGTGCGGCTTTTGGCCACTGATCAGTTGTGGACTGCATCTTCCAAGCTTCTCCCCTCCAATATTGTACTCTGCCATTTCTAAAGAAAAATCATTTTCCGTTCATGAATATGACAGTCTTCTATATATTTGCAGCTGTTGTTCACTTATCTCTTTCCCACGGTTCACATTGCTTAGCATTGATCATGTCACACATTCGCAATGCTTACCGACACTCAATACAGGTAGCGTCATTTGCACCGACGATCTGCTGACGGCGCTGAAGGAGGGCTGGATAGCCGCCGCCATCTTGGATGTGTTTGAGCGGGAGCCATTGCCAGGCGACTGCGAGCTGTGGCGTCTGCCGAACGTGGTGCTGACGCCGCATGTGGCTTCGATGAGCATGAGCTGGCAGGTGTCGGACGTGTTCGCCAACAACTACGAACGCTTCACAGCCGACGAACCTCTTCGCTACCTTGTCGACTGGGAGAAGAAGTACTGAAGCAGCATGCGGAGTTGTTCAGAGCCTCTGTAGGCTGGTTGGAGGGAGAGGAGAGCTGGACGCGGAGACGGAAATGAGCGAGGGGAGGCTGGGAGATTCTAGTTGCACATCGATGCAGGTTTGCCATTTATTCGAGAAGTGTATTTTTTACAAGTTTTATTGAATCATGAAATTGTTTCCAGAATCCTTGTAGCTAATGTGTAGACTTTTGGGATGAGGCAAAGTTTGTTGTTATTATAATTTTTTGATCTAAATGTCATTGATTCAACTAGGAATTTATGCACAGGATGCTGATGATAATTTTGGTGGGTTGGGATCGCACAGTGGCTTATATTTATAGTAACTAAAAGATAGATTTTACTCTAATTAATAAAAAATGAAATGAATCTATGCTCATATATAGTTCTGTTGTGGGAAAAAAATCAAGTTAGAAATTTTCGGGGGCGGGGGCCCATTCTAGGCTTTGATATAGTGATTCAAATTACCTCTAATAGCTCAACTGCTAATTAGTGCAATCAGTGCTGTGAATTCCCCAGTAAAATTAACCTCCCTTTGTTAAGTGCATATATAAACATACAAACTTGCAAACTCAAACTGACTGTTTACTGTTTAGTCAATCTTGGTCAATTAGTGACATGCATAGTACTTATATCCATCTATGCGAGACAGAATCTGGTATACTAGGTATCAAAAGCCTACACAGGTATCAAAAGCCTACACTGGTATCAAAAGCTTACACAGCTGGAATAATTTAAAGTTGTTGTACAGCTTCAGCCGGTGTTTTGGTATAGTCTAGACTTTATATGCTAGTCATATATTCACCTCATGAATCAATACCTATATATATACACCAATACACCAATATATGTCATTGACCTACCTGCTGTGACATAGAGGCAATATAGCAGAATAATAGATGTTTCTATATTATAATACATGAATGGAACATGTAAGTAAGAAACATAAATGTAGTCGACCGGTGTGTAAAATTTTCTAAACTCCAAGCTATTGGCAAATGGCTGATAGAAATAGCTGTTAAAATTTAGATAAAAAATTTACAAATAAAATTGATTATTTTTTATTAATTATGATGAATGCTTTTTTGTAGTAAACTGTTTGTTTGTTGTAGGTCTATATAGTTGTTCATGTTAAAGAGTTGTTCAGAGTTATTTCACGACAGAAATTTTCTGTTGGAAGCAAATTAATAATTAATAATCAATCGAGCTCATTATTAAATTAGGGAGATTTATTTCTTCATCACACTGTACACGATTCACAGCCCCTAGTACATTTATAGTTTGTGGTACAGCTACGTGCAAACCAGTGGATGACATGTCGAACAATGTTCAGAATGACCTGACATTCACGCACACACATGTTATACATGTTACATGTATCCATGATACATGTTATCAGCTAACTCACCAACACTAGCCACCTGCAATTTAAAAAGCCGTGGAGAATCACTTGGTCGATAGGTAAGTGCAGCACTTTACACCTTACTGACATCACTGTCCAGCAAATCTGATATTCAGACTTGTGTAGTGTAGTCAGTGTGTTATGCTTTACTTTCTGAAATCGTTTACGTACACGTGATTTATGACACTATTGTATATGCAACACTTCACCGTAGTAAGAAAACATATGGGGTCTTTGAGCCTGTGTGATGAACAGAAACAGACGTGTTTTTACTTGAGTCTTCAGAGGCAAGAGCCTACAACACTATAACTCAGTATCTTCGTTCTTTATTTTCTCAGATCGTTAGTCAATATTTCTAGTTACCCATTATTGACAAACTGTATGTCATCCACACGCACAAACCTATTCCGACTATCCACCCATCAAACGTTCACCACACAGACCTGATTTTGAAAGTCACGTATTCCGTTCAGGTTTTTTTTCGCGTGGATCACCCGTCTACATTCCTAGTTTACCCACTATTGGTAAACTGTGCATCGATCCCCCACCTCCGACCAACCGACCCATATCGCCTCATCGTCTGATTACCACACTGTCTGAATTCCCCCCCCCCCTGCTCTACTGTTTCTCTCCCACCGTCCACGTATACTCTTCTGTTTACCTTCTGCCGATGTTGTTACCCGTCTACCAGCCATCACCGAGCGGTCACCACATTGTCCAGCTGCTCCGTGAAAGCCTGGAAGGAGAAGCGCCGCAGGACGAGCTCCCGGCCGCGCCGGCCCATCGCCGAGCCGAGCGTCTCGTCGTCGACGAATTCCAACATGGCGTCGGCGAACGCCGCGGCGTCGGCCTTGCGCAGGAACCCCGTGCTCGCGTCAACGACAGTCTCTAGCGGGCCGCCGCTGGCGACGGCGACGACGGGCCGCCCGGCGTACATCGCCTCGACGGGAACGATCCCGAAGTGCTCGCCGCTCGGCGTGTACACGAGGCACGCGCAGCCGCGCAGTAGCGCCCTCTTGCGAGCGTCGCTCACCGAACGCAGGAACGTGACGTGCTCCTCCAGATTGAGGCTGGCCACCAGATGGCGCAGCTCATCGTGGTGCTCGCGGTTTTCGGGGACGCGCGAGTCGTATCCGCCCGCCATGACAAGGTGTGTCCTTCGCCATTTCTCATCAGACAACCGCAGCTTGAGAAGGCCTGCAATGGACACGCGTAGTAGGGGACACAAGGGAACCAGTTAGCCCACGACAGAATCTGTACTCTTCATAAACATGTCGTTTAGTTAAAATTGCTGGTTTGAACACATCACTTTCTAAGGAGTTATTAATTGAAAATTTTCACTGGTTAGGTTAAAGTCATACTGCCACTTTAATTTTCAATCAACGACTTTACTTACTAAAGGCTTCTATAGCAAGTGCCAAGTTTTTCTTTCTTTCATATCTGTTGATGGAGAGAAAATATATATCTCTTCCAGGTGGTAGCACGTCATCATTTAGCAGTTCTGTTTCAGTGTCAAATGCTGAGAAGTTTAGGGACGGATAGAGAACCTGTGGCGTGACTTTGCTCAAGCTTTTAAACGTGTCCTTGAAAACGTTTGCTAGAGCAGAAAAACAGATTGGCATGTGAGCGAGTAGAAATGCTGTTGCTAGCAAATATGGAAGACTCAGACATGCCTACGACTAGGAGTGGGACAGTTGGGGTAACTCACGATACAATCAGCATCACGATACGTATTGCGATACTTTCAAGAGAAACTAGCTAGCAAACTATATATACACTCGCCTGGACTCTACCAATCATGTGAACGCTTACAAACTTTTTTGGGACAGCACTTTGTTAACAACTGCTATGGAATTGCCAATTGTGTTGTTTCTTTTGTTATTTAATAAAACCACGCGACCAAATTATAGACATTTCATTCAGTAGAGTATCGGTACATGTATCATAAATAATTAAATATACAAATGTCTTGATACATATATTGTCAAGGTTTGTATCACAAAAACATTAATATATCAATTAATTGGCCCACCCCTACTTACAGCACAAGAAGCTCAGCAAACTGGAACGAGATTCTAAACCCCTTGTCTTCTTTAAGATATACAACCACTTCCTATGGACCTTTGCATTGGTATATGAAAGATTAGTTATTGTGCTATAATTCTATGAAAATCTGCAATGGTTAGTAAATACTCATCCACAAGTCAATGTAACTATTTGATTGTCCAGCATGAAGGAAATGACTGGCATTTCTGCTGTACCTGTGAACATGCTATTGACGAGAATCACATGTGCCAAGCCTGTACTCCATTCTTCCAGCCAGTCGAGGGGTGCGCGATACACACGCTTTAGAAAGCTCTCTCTGCGCGTTAGGAGCTGGTCGGGAAAATGGCAGTAGAAGACGATGCGCCTGCGACTAAACAACTTCAGCAGGGGAATGCATGCAGAGATCTGGTCGCAGAAGATGACGTCAAACGATTCGAGCAACAGCAGGTACAGCGCAATGTACAGCATGCGCACGTATGCACACAGCGCGCGGCAGCTGCCCAGCAAGCTACTGGGCAGCCAGTCTCCAGCCGCCCTCACTGACAGCGTTCCATCTATCGTCTCGGGGAAGCAGTGAGATGGATCGTGGTGAGCAGTGATCACCAGCACGTCGTGACCCCGTGACCTCAGAGCCAGCGCAGCATCAATGACCAGCCTCTCGGCGCCCCCTATCCCGAGGTCAGGATGGAGAAATACCACTCGAACCATACTATATCCTAAAATCCAGAGAATTAAAATAGAAATGAATTATAATGAATGAACAGATAGGGAGGGGTACAATCAGTTTTATCACAGGCACTTTGCCACTTACTGACTTAGTTAGGACCCAGGCCGCCGCTACGTAGTAATACTAAGTCTAGTAGTAGTACTACTAGTACTAGTAATACTAATACAGTACCACTAATAGTATTAGTAATACTATACAGTATACTGTATGTCTATAGTCCCAGTACTATATGTACTCCATGTAGTATGTACCATGTGACGTTCCCCCCCCCCATGTAGTACTAGTAGTACTCCAGTGAGTAGCTCTAGTACTATAGCCTGCGTTCATTAACTGCCAAAGGCATGTTACGACCTGCGGCAGTTAATGAACGCGGGCTATAGTACTACTACTAGAGCTATCCAGTGAGTAAATGGGGCCCATTCCTATTTGACAACCCCAGGTTTAAAAACCCTAACCCTAACCCTAACCAAACTCACGACATGGGTGTGTAAACGCTACTTGTACTAGTTGTACAGTAAATAAATGGCAGAAACCGGCCCGGTTTGCAATACCTACAGTTCAGTTGTGATACCAACGCATTTTGACACCAACCACACCTGCGGCAACTGTAAGCGGGCTATAGTACTAGAGCTACATCTCATCTTACCTGATCAAAACCTTTTACTAACAGTGCAGCACGGTGACGTACGTTCAGCAACTTACTTTTAAAGTTTTATTTACATCGCAAACCTCGGTAGTCGGTACACGTGAACTTCCGGAATAAAGGTCAGCGCTTCCGTGGCGCTGTCATCGCCCACACAAATGTTCATGTGTTTCGTGTTGTTCGCGCGAAATTTTATGTAGAATTTCAACTTCCAAGTCTCTCTCTCTACTCTGGTACTTTGTCTAGTGCTCAATTAAAATCCGTTACTGTCAAGGAAGAAAGTTGATACTATCGTGAGGTTTGTGTAGGAGATAAAAATAGACCAATAACATGGGATAATATAATACATATAATACTATAAGTATAATACTATAATAATTAATATATATGGTAGGAGGAATAATAATTATGGCAATTGATAATGAATCTGATATATGCAATGTGAATGTTCAATTATGTTGACGATTGCTAGAGTAACTGGCACCTTGTGTAGTACATAATAAGTACATTACCTTATAGCCAAACGCGTATTAGTTTGTCCAATATCACTGCTGGTTACTAAGAAATGTCTAATTGAAATCTGCAGTCCAAGGAATGTTTACAGTTTACAGTTTCACTTTCAAATCGCTGCCAGCGAAGCGGGTGTGATACAGATTTATAGTGCACCGGACATTTTCGCACGCATGCTCGGCCGTACGCAATGCTATCATCAGTGATTTCGTAAACACGGACGCTCGTGATAAGGAATTTTTTGTCAGGGCTGTCCATGTGCGTCCGTGATTTAGTAATAGTAATAGTAATAGTATGTGTGTTTTACTCTATTTCCATGTTTAGTCCGTGGCCGTGGATACACAGCTGACACCTCCATTTCATCTGGCGTCCAAAACATACGGGCCGCACAAATGTTTACGTCATCGGCGACTTATCGCTTGACTACTGGATGACATTTACGGCACGTAAATGAATATCAACAACTGATTTCAAGTCTTGCTTGTAATGTAACCAGCAGTGATATTGTGCAAACTAATACGCGTTTGGTTATAAGGTAATGTACTTATTAACTACACAAGGTGCCAGTTACTCTCGCATTCGTCAACATTGCATAATCAATGGGCTTATTATTCCATTAAGTCGTTCGGTTCCGCTGTAGCATTAGCTCTACTATAACTTACTATACCTAACTATAGCCCGCGTACAGATGCTGCTGGCAACGCGCCGCTGGCCAGCGGCAACTGTACGCGGTCTATAGTTACTTAGAGCTACTGTAGCATTAGCCATTAGACCAAATAATTCTGTCCCAGATAACCTTTTTTACATTTTGGTGAGGGTTATTGGTCTATGGGAATAATTCTGTCCCAGTATAACGCATCCAAAATATAAAACGTTATCTGGGACAGAATTATTCGGTCTACTGTAGCATGACATTTGTTTTGGCACTTTTCAGCATACATGGAAGCATTTCTGAAGGGACGGACTGGAGCAAGTAAGGAGGGCACGCATCAAAATGCAACAGCGCCAGGCACTTCTGGAAAGCGAGATAAGCAGAATCGGAAAACGGCACACACACCCTGGGTAGAAAAATAGTAAGTCTGCCACTGTCTGGTAACTGGTTCGATATCGGATATGCAAGTCCTCACTTCGCGTAGACCTAGGCAGCCTCCACGGGTGTCTCTTTCGTAGTCACTCCTGGCTCTACCTAACTGAAATCCCATTCTTCTCCTTCTCCGTTTTATTCCCCTCTCCCGTTGTTCTCCGGTTTTCACCTACCTGAAAACCCGTGCCTCTATCCCCTCTGTTATCTCTCTCCACGAGACCTAGAAGGCTTTCTCCCTCTTTCTTCTTCTTCTTCTTCTTCCTACCTAGACCTGAAAAATAACGCTCTTGTGCTGCGATTCGGTGCGCCTTATATACCTAGCTGGCACTGCCCCCCTGCGTGCCGTTGTTTAGCACGCGTTGCCAAAACATTACGCAGATTTCGTTTGCTGGTGCAATCGTTTCACCTGCTGACGCAACCCGTGGCTGATACGATTATTGCAGCATCTGATGCAACTCGTTTCTAAGTAAATATTCCTCTCTTCGACAACTTAGACTATTCATTTTATTTAAATCTCTTCCTATATTATGCTGACTAATAATAGTACATAACTGCGTTGATTATTATACTCTATACATTGCGTTATCGCTTTTCGCGTATCCGCGCCTTGTTATCTTTGGACTCAATTCGTATGACCCAAGATGGCTGCGCCCATAGACGTGCGCGTTTTCTATGTGCTGTCTATGTTTTAACCTCTCTTTAGTCAATATCATTATGGTTATTCTATCTATAAGTACTGCGAGTTCAATCTATCCATCCTGATCTAGTCTACTGCTCCTGTGAGTTACACACCCCCGAAATCTCCACACTAGCAACTAATTATGATTGGTGAATTTAATCATGCTCCTGAGTAGAATTAAATATTGGTAGTGTCTAAACGACCGGACCCGGTTTCGGAGGCCTGAAAACTAAACAACCGGCTCTCTTCTCTGATTGGTCAGTTTCCGAACATAACAGGACAAATATATAATAGGACAAATTTTAATGCAAAACGTAAAGAAATATATTTAATTCTGAACATAAACAAAAGTTACAGAACAAATAAATGAATACGGAACAAATAAATGCAGAAACAAATAAAATACAAAGAAATACAGAAAGCAGAGGAAAATAAAAACTTATGGGGTTCGAACACGGTTTCTTACTATCAAGAAGCGAAAGCTCTACCGTTTAGCCACTGAAACCAACTTGAAAGGGATGCATATAGACCCTAACCCTAACCCTAACCCAAACCCTAACCATAATCCTAATCCTAACCCTAACCCTATCCCTAATTCTAAAATAAAATAAAATTAGACAAAAATAATAAAAAATAAAATAGTGACAAAATTAGCCAATCAGAGAAGAGAGCCGGTTGTTTAGTTTTCAGGATACCGAAACCGGATCCGGTTGTTTAGACACTTCCTTAAATATTGTGATTAACTTAATCATGATTAAAGTTAATTACGCTTCGTGAAACAGTCACTTCAATTTAAGTACGGGAAGTTAATCATGATTAAAGTTAATTACGCTTCGTGAAACAGTCACTTCAATTTAAGTACGGGAAGTTAATAATGATAAGTGATTTAATCATGATTAAGGACTTAATTACGCTTCGTGAAACCGGCCCCAGATTTTCTGTAACAATTGGTACCATTTCACGTTACAGTCGCCCAAGATCAATAGAAGATGTTGCCTACCAGGATGATGTCATTGCAGTGCTTAGGAAGACATTGCAAGGAGCTGATGTAACTGTCTATTTCAAGTATTTAATACTGAGGGTGGGAAATACCAAAGCGCAATAAAAACTTGGCAGCTATGTTCTGTATAAACATGAAACGGCATGGCCCTGGGTTTAAAATCCCCCGTGTCCTCTGTGTGCAGTCAATGTGCAGAAGACTGACATTTTAATACATTGTGTAAACAGTTAGTTACATAAGCGTCTAGTGGTAACTAGTGGGAATTGCTGGGTGATGCCACAAAATATTACCAAAATTAGTATGTGTAAGCTCATGTATATTTTCAGCTGCCCAATATGCTCTTTTATGGTCCGCCTGGAACTGGCAAAACATCGACTATATTGGCTGCTGCAAGGGAGTTATATGGGTATGTGCTGTGAGATGGGTGATTAATTTGGTTAAGAGATTGACAATCCGTAGTCCTTATCTTCATTAATGCTACACATTCTTGGGTTAAGCAATAGCAAACAAAAAGAGGAGAAATGCACACACTGCTATGTGTTACGTTAGTACTATAGGTAAAGTTAATTATAAGAATTGTGTTGACAGAAACCACTTGTTTTTATTGGTTCGATATTCGAGAGCTTAGCATTTACTTAATTGTGTTGTGCCTGTGTAAAAATTCATCGTTAACTTGTATCGCATTGTTGGCAGGGCCGACATGTTTCGTGACCGCGTGTTAGAACTGAACGCCTCTGATGAGCGGGGAATACAGGTCATCAGAGACAAGGTGAAGAACTTTGCACAGCTGTCTGCCGGTGGTACGCGACCTGAGTAAGTGCGTCGATGCATATTTTAAAATTTGAACTCCAACTTTAATTGTATCTGTGTTGGTTTGCATTGTGTTTTTCAGTACATATTGCTAGACGTCAGTGTGATCCGTTATCATTTACAATAACCAGTGAAAAAATACACGGGGGCTCGGGGCGATTTAGCCCCCGAAATGCCAAAAACAGCCCCGGAAATGCCAAAAAGAGCCCCCGTAAATTTGCATAGAGTTTAATGCAAACCAAATTTTAGAGTGCTATTTTCATGCACGCGAGCTTGAAAAGTAGCCCCCAGAAAAATAAATTTTTAAAATAAAAATTATTTTTTCTCTGACAATAACCCTCCCACACTTCAAGCTATACACTCTTGGTGTGATTCATTACAGTTCCATACTCAGTACTCCTGCCATATGTTGTGCTGAATATGCCTGCATAGCGTGATCACTTATTATTATAGCTGCACTTAAAATAACCCTTCCATAGGTGGTGGTTGATGTGCTTGTATGGTGCAATCCATTATAATTCGACAGAAAGCAACTCTGCCATAGTTGGTGCTGGACATTATGTGTTTGTCACTTATAGTTCCTCACAATAGCCCTACAGAATTGCTTGACATGGTCAGTGTGTTCTGTAACAGTTGCATTTACAATAACCCTTACTGCTGTGTTTAGTACTAAGAATGTTTTGCACAATGTGATCTATAACAGTTTCACTCGTTCTATAGATGCATGTGTATTGGCTGACAGTTATTTTTCTACTGGCAGCGGCAAACCTTGCCCACCATTCAAGATCATAATACTAGATGAGGCGGACTCGATGACTCAGCCTGCTCAGGTATGAGTTGTATGGCACTTCTTTAAAGGGAGTTAATAGAGTTGCATCAAACATCAATGTAAATAAACCAGACATGTGTTTCTCAATTTTGTAGGATTATGGTTGATTTGCTATCGTAGACAGGGGTGGGTTTGTGTGAGTGAAGTGCCCTAACATCAATGTATTTCTATTATACTAACAGTATCATTCCTCAGATATAAGTTCATAACTACATCTCGTATTTCTCTGTCTGTTGCAGGCAGCGCTAAGGAGAACAATGGAGAAGCAGTCTAAGACAACAAGGTTCTGCCTTATCTGTAATTACGTGAGCCGAATCATCGAGCCAATCACGTCGCGTTGCTCCAAGTTTCGATTTAAGCCTCTAGCCAATGAGATTCTTCTAAAACGTCTGAAAGAAATCTGTGAGAAAGAGAATGTAAAATGCGATGAAAAGGTCCGTACTGGTAAACTAAATAGAAACATAGTTCACTTGGTGTAAGGATCATGTCATAAGTTTAGGATTGCATAACTTTCATATATTATATAAAATGTAGTGCAAAAATTATCGCAACCTAGACGTGTGATAGTCATATTTATTTGTGATGTTTCCTGATAATGGAGCCCAGGTAATTAAAGTTACCCGCACATGCATTCAAAGCCTAACTTTGCAGGGTCTTTCTTCAATACATTAATATGTGCTTATTCTAGATGACCACTCTATGGGGTCCCATCATAAACAGGATTTGTGACATAGGCCACTACACTCAAACTGCTAATACATTGTATGTGAACATTGATGAAGTTAACTTGTCATCAGGGCTTAGAGGTGATCCTTGATACGTCAGAAGGCGACATGAGGAAGGCCATCACGACCTTGCAAAGTGCAAGCCGTTTGAAGCTCGGTGACACCATTGTGCAGCAGGACATATACGAAATCTCAGGGGTAAATCATAGCCAACTTGTTGTTCAATCCTACATGAGATTTTCAGCATTGCAAATGTGTTGCCGAGTCGAGACACACTCATGCATGCACACACATACGAATGTACGCACGCACGCACGCATGCACACACAAAGTAACACACTGAAGCTGATAGACACACAGACATACCTAATTTCTGTTTCTATGTACTTGGCTTTACTAGGTGATACCAAGTGAGTGGATTGATAAACTGATGGCTGCTTGCCAATCTAGTTCCTATGAGAAACTTGAAGCCATAGGTAGGTAAACTTCTTATGGTGAATAACTTGGTAGGAACAAGACGATATGTCATATGATATTATAAACAGTAGCATAATATTCAGTGCTTTTTTAGCTCATCTGACATAGTCAGATGCAGCTTGTAGAATCGCATGATCGTCTGTCCGTCCGTCCGTCCGAGCGTCCGTCCGAGCGTCCGTCCGTCCGTCCGTCAACAGTTGGGCACAAATCTTAACCGCTCGACGTACGGTCACGATATTCGGGACGGGGGGGGGGGGGGTAATACGAAAACGAGTTGGGATGTCGAAGCTGGGGGGTCAAAGGTCAAAGGTCAAAGAGGTTGTAAAAGAAGGGAGAACATTGACTCCTTAACTTAAGGTATAGGGAGGAAATGCAGAATTGCGGCACAAATCTAAACGGCTCGACCTAGCTCGTGATAGTCGGTGTATAGCATCATGGTAGGAAAGCCATCACTGTGCCGAAATTGGAGGTCACCAGGTCAAGTCAATTGGCCTAGGGCAGATTTTAGACATTTTCTGAGGACATGGTCTGACGGAGCGATTGAAAAACTTTTTTGTTTCAGCGGTGACCTAGCATTTTTATGGCATTATTGAAAGGACGCATGAAATCTACTTTCTGCTGACATGCGAAGAGTAAAGTGTCAGATAACCTTTTGACCCTCAAGAGGAGGGTTAAAACTTGGATTTGTTGACTGTCTGTTAGAAAGAATTTGACTGCCGGGTTTGCTAGTAGAAATCTATACATGCCTGGATGTATGAGGCTACAATGTCACAGTGAAATTCAAAAGCTAAAATTTGGTTAAAGAAGGTGTATGTTCCTTAAATCGTATAATTTCTATGGCATTCTGTACTGTCAGTATGTACATGTAACGTATGCCACTGCCAGTGGCTGCTGCCAGTGCATGTGTTTGGTGCAGTTTTGCCTGCATTAATTGGTTACAGGTGGCAGCTCTCTATTCGGCAGTCTGTAGGCTTGCGCTAGGTAAATGGATGAGTGCTTACCTATTCTGTCTTGCAAATAGTTGTTGCTACTATTGCTACTACGTACGATCAGAGCTTCCATCTTTAATCTGAAGACACTTAAACGTACGCGCCATCTCGTGGCAAACTTTCATAACGATCCCAACGAACATTCCTTTGAAGAAGGTTCCTGATACCATCCCTGTGCATTCCACTGTTTTTCGGCGTGTAGTGAACAAATTTGGGACATAACGGGTTTACGTAGAATCCCACCACTCACACCACAGAGTCACCGCAGTAGACGTTAGATGAGCGCTGTCGCTCCGCGGCACTTGTTTAATCACCAGTACACTGGTATATTATATCAGATCAGGTCCCCCCTGTGTCCGTACAGGATTTGCCTCACCTAATGCTATAGATTTGGAACCCTGGATCCATTATATTTTATCCAATTTAGGTCAAAGATATATGTCCAATGCTTAAAATATACATTGATATTAGTGCAGTAGCAGTAGCAACATATTAACTTTGTTTGTAACAAAAGAAACAAACACATGTTAAAGTTTTCAGTAGCACTTTATTGTTTTTGAGTAAACATATGGCTATGTTTTATTAAACATTGTGTGTCATTAAATATTGCAGTTAAGGAAATGATGTTAGAAGGACATTCTGCTGGACAGATCCTTATACAGGTATTTGACAGTGTCATTCCAAGCACAGATCTTAATGACAAACAAAAATCTGTCATCTGTGAAAGAATTGCGGTAAGTTCCAGACTTCTTTTACGTTTACTCTATAATTATGAAGCTATTGCAGTACATGCATGTATTTATATTTTCGTATGCATAAACTTTTAGCTAAAAGCTTCAGAATGCAAGTGCTATGATGACCCTACAACTGTTCATGTAAGAAGATAAATAATCTGTATTTACATTTGTAATGGAAGGTAACCCAAATGCAAATGCCACCAGTGAACCTATGCACTGACACAGGCTGGAATTTTGTATACCGCTAGTTTTACATTTTTCAAACCAGGTGGCAGATAAGTGCTTACAGGATGGAGCAGACGAATATTTGCAAGTTATGGACGTATGCACAGTGATAATGTGGCAGAAAGGCCATTAGGTGAAACTTATTCAAGTTAACGGTTGAATAACGATGCTGTTTGGCAGATATTGCAAAACTTACAGCAGCATTGTAACCACTGCCATTGTTTTACATTTCCATTTCTATGGATAAAAAAGGTTAGATTTCCAAAGTCAATTAAAATTACTTCATTGAACGTGTGTGAAGGGAAATGTAGTATGAAATATGAACATTTGACATTAATTGAGTGCTCTTGCTTTTAAGGTATTGTGTAATTCCTAGCAAAGCATGTTAATCTAGTTAAACATAATGTAATACTGTATATGTATATCACAATGCAGACATAGCATCTTACAGTTGACTGATGTTTGTGAGATTTCATATAAAAACAGCAATTTTTGAAACGGCATAAACAATGTTTGACTTTACTATACAGTGTTGGACTTGATGCAGGCACTAAACAAACTTGTCAGCATGTGAGCAGATTAATTAGCAAATTATTAACATAATTATAGTAGATTATACATATTAGTTAGCAAATTATGCAAGAAATTCGAAGGGTAATTATTTTAACATTGCGTTCAAGCTAACAATAAGAGAATATAAATACTTGTTTCCTGGAACATTGATGCTACCATAATACCTTCGCTGTTGTTTCCTGGAATACTACCCCCCACGGTTACACACACTGCCCACTCAAAAACCCAAGGAGCCTCAAGTGATATATGTGTTGTGGAATGTATTATTGGTGTAGGGTTATGGTGTCAACAGATGACTCGTTGCCGGTGGGCTTCTCAGTAAAAGCAGATGAGAGTCGTAGCATCGTATTCTAGCAGCACGCTCTCGTCTTTTGTCGTGTTGTAAAATGTAAAACGTGTAGGCATTCCTATAGCTGCACATGTACGTGCACCTGCTCATGAAAAACCAACTCGAGAACGGATGCATCCTGTTACTTCATCCATAGCTTAGTGTAGATAGGCATAACAAAACCAACCGGTCGTATTGCCATGTATGCAAATAATATCGATAAATATTGCAAAGGTTTAACTGTTGCTTGTGCCAACGACGATTGTAAAGTGTCACTGCTTTGCGCACGGTGCATTTGTTAAACTTCACACACAGCGGAAAGATGTAATAAACGTGCATGTTTTACAGTGCCGTTGTTTGGCCTAATTGATCAAAGAAGCCGAGTTGTTAAGTGCCTTGCAGTTTGCCGAATGTTTAGGATGGAGTTTTTTATGATGTACTTTCCCATGGATGAAAATTGTATATGGACATTCCACTTCGTTACGTTACCGATAGCTACCAGACTGATAGGCCAGCTGTTGTGTGTTGTTTACATCTGCAGTACTGATGAATGTTTTAACAAAAATTACCCAATACGCAAAATATAGTGTCAGTCAGTATCAGTCATTTTCAAGTCTTGAGTCATATAAGAGGACGATAGTGAGAATGATTTCATTCACGGTGTAATATGCTGCATGATTTCATAGGATTGGCTCCAAAAACATGGCACTGACAGTTTTTATTTTCCATTTTAATTAATGGGGTTTAAATTTGTACTGTAAATGTTCATGAATAGGAGGGAATTGCAGCTAGATGTAATTAAAAACTTCAATTTTGCACAGTTGCGATATGTGCCTATTAGTTACATCGACATGGCCAAATGCAAGTGAAACTCCACGGAAAACTAAAGCCAACTGGGGCAAGCAAAACATTTGGATCTTTGTATCTACAACAGGCTGGGGCCAATTTGAAAGTACTATAAGTGTGTGGGCTGAAACTGATGCAGTACGGGAAAAAGTGGTCTCAAATGACTTTCTGCTCTACTAGTCCTACTTTAAGCTCACATTAGTGTTCACGTAGGCATAGTGGTGGTATTTTTGCTTTGTGTAGGTATGGCTTATATGCTAAAATTGGCAACTGCAGGTAAATGTGAATTTCTGGCTCCTGAATATATAAAATTAATCAAATCTAAATAGCAAAAGCAGTTCAGTCCATTGTTAACAGTCAACAAATCCATGTTTAACCCTCCTCTTGAGGGTCAAAAGGTTATCAGACACTTACTCTTCGCACGTCAGTGGAAAGCACATTTCATGGTCCTTTCAATAAAGCCATAAAAATGGTAGGTCACCGCTAAAACAAAAAAGTTTTTCAATCGCTCCGTCAGACCATGTCCTCAGAAAACGTCTAAAATCTGCCCTGTGCCCCATTTACCTTTGATATGTGACCTCCAATTTTGGCAGTGATGGCTTTTCCTACCATGATGCTATACACCGACTATCACGAGCCTAGGTCGAGCCATTTAGATTTGTGCCGCAATTCTGCATTTCCTCCCTATACCTTGAGTTAAGGAGGGAATGTTCCCCCTTCTTTTACACCTCTTGACCTTTGACCCCCAGCTTCGACATCCCAACTCGTTTTCGGATTACCCCCACGCCCCGAATATCGTGACCGTACGTCGAGCGGATAAGATTTGTGCCCAACTGTTGACGCACGGACGGACGCACGGACGCACACTCATGCGATTCTACAAGCTGCATCTGACTATGTCAGATGAGCTAAAAACCCAGTGTTATGAAATTCATCATATTTCAGTGTCTTCATTTTTTATACCAACAAAAACAAAGTAAAATAGGGTACTTTTCTTGTAATTTAATTTCACGTTACACTTACATTACAGGGTCAATATAAATTTAAACTCGAGCTTTACAAACAGCATTGCAAACGTTTGTATAAATTTACTTCCACCATCATTAGTGGCAGCACCATAGGATGTTACCCTGGATGTACCTGTACCAAACTTTAAACTGCGAAAACTTTATACATTGTATCATGATTGTATGTACATGTGTATAAGAACTGTGGAAAGCGATCTATCACTACAGTAACTGTTCCCGCTGAACATTATAATAAATAATTGCGCGTTTCCCTCAACATCAGTTTTGATAGAAAAATTGCATTGTATCCATTTTCATTTTCGATTCTTTGCTAGCATCCAAAGACCTATCAGTCGAAATCAGTAAAAATCAGAAGAATTTCGAGTCACAAGAGGTGGCCCTAGCAGTGTGTTGTGCTGAGAGGGTTGTGGTTCCTCCACAATCAAATGTAGTAAAAATATTTAACCAGGATAATGTGGAAAATGAGCACATACTTGTACTACAAAAGACAAAAGCTAAATATTTGCATACTGTCAATTTGCACTAACCCATTGGATACAACTTATGAACTTGATTGATATTAACAGTGTTGAACATCACTTCTAATAAATAGTGACTGTTGTTGCTCAACTGCGCATATAAAACAACTCATCATCATTCCACCCCTGAAAGATTGTTATCACCCATAAAAGAAACATTTCCACACACACACGCACCCACACACTATATATATATATATACGTATATATACATACATGCATAAATAATGAACCCATGTATATTGTAACAGCGCCATTTAGTATTGACTCGTTGAGCTTCTTCAGCAGATGTTCTTTATTTCACTGAAGTCCGAGTCTGAATTCCTATTAGTAAGAATACTAGCATAATTGTAGCCACGTGCCCCTACCAATATATATATATATATATATATTGCTATTATTATTTTAATAAAGGTTATGCCACATTATCGTCATCATCGTCATCATTATCGTCACTATCGAACATCAGCTGCGCGTGTTTAAATATAGACAGGCTCAATATTCATATATATATATATATATTATGTGCATATACTTTCAGTATAGGCAGTAGAGTTAAATCTGCTCACTATGCGAACGAAGCTTCTCTTGAATGTGGAATGTTAAACATCAATTTGATACACGACTATATAAGCAATAGTGCAGGTGTGGAGAAACGAACGCTGCTGCTAATAGGTGTCACCACCGGCGGCGCGACTTTTAAGTCTGGCGACTCAAAGCGGTGACACAAGTATCCCACCGTGGCACACGTAAACACGTGTGAGTGGGAGGGGGGAGTCGATAACAGCGAAAATCGCACCAGTTCTGAGCCAGTAAAGCGAGTTAGTTTATACAGCACGCAAATGGAATGCATGGCACTAGAAGTAGCGTTTCCACGGCAGCGCCTCTTGCGCCATGCAACGATATATTATGTCGTGTTATTCTGACATTCCGGATAAATAATATAAATATGTGACAGAGTATTCTTGGGGTTAGGCCTATGTACAGTACGTATTCGGCAACGCACAGCGGGCATTTCACACTCACAGTCTCACTCTTTCATACTATATGTTAGCATTGAATATATTGAGTATGTATCATTTAGTATTTTTTACATTCAGCAGCTTCCAATTTAACTCGCGACATCAGCAAGCACCCCTGCGTTTCGTAATTAATTAATTACCCCAATCCAAAAATCTATGGGTTTTACTCTTAATATGTTTCTCATGTCTACATCGTTTTTTATGGGAAAATCTTTACATTCATGATATCAAAACGGTTGTGACCATCTGATGTCAACCAGTTTTTTTTATTTTCTCACTTCATTTCATATATTTCTCTTTTTTGTTAATAATATCTACACCATAGGTACAAAAGTCGAAACCTACATTACCTTCATGACACAAGCACCGGTTCACCCTCTAATGGACTTGTTTTCAGCTGCGTGTATTGCTTGCTATATGGTAAAGGTTGTGGGTGTAGAGATAGACCATCGGAGACCGTTTTGTGGGAACGGGTGAATAATGATGTAGGACGGCCCACTACCTCTTCTGTTTGTTGGCAGGGGATGGGTGGTAGATAAACTCAGGTCGCTTCACGTGAGTATTTGTAGGTGGGGAAGGCAGTGGCGTTAGGAAAGGCTAAAATGTGTCTTGTTAAAATTTAGATTGGTATTATATCGTTTTCACGCACTCCTAACGTAATCAGTCATGCACTCATCCATCGCCACTCATCCTCCTCTAAACTACAGATCTGTACTTGTGACGGTTATTCCCGTGCAGCACTTCCAACATAATTACAGATCTGCAATACAGTTGCATGTCTTCCCACGTCAACATCTCCGCAAGTCACATTATAAAAACCTGCTGTTCCCACAGTGACATGCTGCTTGCGAGGGTTTGAACCATAGAAATAATATTCTACCTAGGCTCTGTATACATCTCCGTTGGTTGAACATCACTAAAAGTCCTTGAAGTGTTCGATATCTTCCCTCTGCGCTGGAGGTGGCTTGACAAAGTGGCTGTCGGGGTAATCTTCAAAGTTGCGCGTGTCGCCGTCGTGGGATATGTTGGGCACGATCGGTGGCTAGAGCAACGACAACGCAAAACTGCTTGTAACGAGTTCGGTAGCAACATGAACAGGATATAATCAGGAGTCTATCAATAGATTGATAGACTCCTGATATAATTACCTTACAATCGTTATTGCACCGACAGAAAAGTTGGGTATTTCGCTACGCGATCAGTACAATGCAATCAGCGGAACTATATTGTTAATACCTGGCGCACCTGTTGCTAAGCGTGCGTGCGTGCGTGCGTATTAGTGTGCATGCGTGCGTCACGGTGCGTGCGAATGTATGTGAATGCGGTTGGTGTGCGTGCGAGTGTGCGTGCGTGAGTGCGTGCGTGCGTGCGTGCGTGTGTGTGTGTGTGTTTGTATGAGGTTGGTGTGCTTGCGTGCGGGCATGGTAGCGTGCGAGTGTGTGCGTGTATGCGGTGGGTGTGCGTGTGTGCCTGGGTACGTGCGAGTGTGTGCGCGCGCGCGCTCGTTTCTTTGAGGTTCGTGTGCCTGCGTGCGTGGTAGCATGCGAGTGTGTGCGAGTGTGTGCGTGTATGTCTGTGTATGCGGTGGGTGTGCGTGCGTGAGTGGGTGCGTGCGAGTGTGTAAAGATCACTATAACAATAGAAGAGGCGAGTACCTGTAGCTTTCTCTGATAGACATCTGCCCAGGCTATACGTTTGAACCAGCGATGGTGCTTCACGTCTTCTGCACCTCTCTGCAAAGTCAATCACGATTGCTGCTAAGTTTCAACGATTGCACTACATACGATTGCACACAACGATTGCACTACAAGTACAACTAGACAGAGTGCACTCACGGAGAGTGCATACCTCCGCCAACGACATACGCCATACGCCATTCGACTCACGAACACACGAATAAGCCACGATATACGCCAGCGTACTGACATGTACACGCTGGCTTGCTGGCTTGCTGCTCGCTCGCTCGTTGCTGCTGCTCGCTCACATGTACACGCTCGCTGGCTCGCTGCGCTGGCTGGCTCACTGGCTGACGTGCTAACACACGAACACACTAAAGCCTAGCGGACACACCCGAGCAAAACGGGAAATTTTGTTTTCCAGCGTTTCGCGTTCTGCTCGGCGAGCAAGCGCACACACGCCACCCGACACAGCACACAGCTGAGCAAAACATACAGAAACACTGCGTACAGCGCTGCTGTCACATGACATCAAAAATAGCCATCCAATGGACATCCACTTTTGTGTGTCATGTGATATTTTTAAGGATATTGATTGGAGACCGTCTGTGGCGTTTCGCTGTGTAGCAGAACGATTGACGCACACACCCGAGCAAAACGTACGCTCAGGCGAAAACACGTTCCGCGAACCAAACATTGCTTGTTCAGCGAAACACGCACAGCTGAGCAATGTTTTTTGTTTCGGGAATCCGCACACAGCCACGAACATCGAGCGAAACACGTTTTGCTCCACGTTCAGGGTGTTTTGCTCGGGTGTGTGCGCTAGGCTTAACACACGAACACACGCACACGAGAGCGAAAACATAACCTCCTCCAACTCCGTTGGGCGGAGGTAAATAGGACGATTGTTGCTATGATTATTGCGTGCCAACACATGCTCATAAATTCATGTGCCGTGAAAATCAAACAGGTAATCAAACATTGCTTAGAATAATATCAGGAGTGAATAATAATAGAATAATAATGATATTCACTCCTGATAATATCAAGAGCACTTGATAATATTCAACAAGTGACTACACACGCGAGAAAGAAGCAACAGTTCCATTGTGTGTGCGTGCGTGCGTGCGTGCGTGCGTGCGTGCGTGTGTGCGTGTGTGGTGTCTGTGAGAGAGAGTGCACACGCGTGCGTGCGTGCGCGTATGTGCGCGCGTGTGCGTGTCTTCGTTATCTACTCTATAGTATTATATACTCTATATTATCTACTCTATATATTCGTACTCTATAGGCATGTGTGTGTGCGTGCGTGTGCGCGCGCGCGTGTGTGTAGCACCGGGTTGTAAGGGTGGGGTACGAGGCGTGTATGACATATACATTTGAAGTGGTGAGGTTAATGCTATAAGACGAGATGAGACTGCAGTTTTGCGTAACATGACTCAGTAAAGGCGTGTGTAAACATAAGTAAGTAATACACAAGACACGGCAAGGTTGGTTATAGGTTTACGAGGTGGAATGCGGTCTCTCCTGCTAGACAACGCACCTGCAATAGATTTACTCATGAATATGCCAAGATCGCTTCTACAGCCACACGGAGAAATTACCGCTCTCTATACCGTCGCAGCAGTGTGAACGCCCGGAATCATTGGATCGTTGCCCTGGCTAATTGAGTTCTAAGTGAAACCGTGCGTTGGTGCTACATCCTACGAATAGACGCTGATATGCTGGCAAGACGGTTGGTATACCGCTCTCGGTTTCCATCAGCCACGGTCATATTGCCTCTATTTATACACATACACACGGCGTACAGACGAACAGGATGTATAAATAAATCGATTAATATATATATATATATATATATATATATATTTATTCATTTATACATTCCTTTATGCTGTAATCTTATATGATGATAGCGTAGAATTTCAATAAGATTTGCGCATAGATGCGATTATATCAGGAGTGTCATATAATATAGAACATGATATAATCTATATTATGAAACTCCTGATTATATTTTAGACAGAAATAGAATACAGCACAGACGTATTACGTAGAAGTATTGAGGCTATTAGACACGGAACAACCGTAGTGTATACAATATGTTCTGCCAGGCACTGAGTTATTGTATTATTTCTCCTGGCCAATAAGGTCTGTGAGGTGGTAATTTTTTTGAAAAAATGGTGCAATTATAAGCTATTTTGGTGCATTATAAGCACTGTTCTATGGAAGAACAGTGATTTTCGTCAGCGAGGCGGTGTTTTGGACAAATTTCTGTGTGGCGGTTGAGAATTTGAGTCAATGCAGGGGAAACACTGGAAATTATTTCTATAACATGCACGCACGCACGCACGCACGCACGCACGCACACACGCACGCACACACGCAAGCACGCATGCACGTACGCACAAACACAGCCTTATTATGCACATTTCGAGTGTCCTTATATATTTTGGCTTGTGGAACGGCCACAATTATTTACTTTCACTTCTTCATTCACTAGATATTGAGGTAGGTAGGTAGATGCCAGGATAGATGGATGGATAGATAGATAGATAGATAGATAGATAGATAGATAGATAGATAGATAGATAGGTACGTATGTAGGTAGATAGGTAGGTAGGTAGGTAGGTAGGTAGGTAGGTAGGTAGGTAGGTAGGTAGGCAGGTAGGTAGGTAGGTAGGTAGGTACGTACGTAGGTAGGTAGGTAGGTAGGCAGGTAGGTAGGTAGGTAGGTATGTAGGTAGTTAGGTAGGTAGGTAGGTAGGTAGGTAGGTAGTTAGGTAGGTAGATACGTAGGTAGATAGATAAATAGCTAGCTAGCTAGCTAGCTAGATAGATATATAAATAGATAGATAGATAGATGGATGGATGGATGGATGGATGGATGGATGGATGGATGGATGGATGGATGGATGGATGGATGGATGGATGGATGGATGGATGGATGGATGGATGGATGGATGGATGGATGGATGGATGGATGGATAGGTAGGTAGGTAGGTAGGTAGGTGGGTAGGTAGGTAGGTGGGTAGGTAGGTAGGTGGGTAGGTAGTTAGGTAGGTAGATAGATAGATAAATAAATATATATATATATAGGGTTCTAGGACAAATACCCCCCGGACAATCACCCCCGGACAATTACCCCTCCGGACACTTTACCCACCGGACAATTACCCCACGGACAATCACCCCCCGACATCACTCGGGCCCCGCGATCAATACCTCCCCGGACATTTACCCGCGCGGACAATTACCGCCGCCGAGACATTTCCCCCGGACATTACCCTCGACATTTACCCGCGGACATTTTCCCCCCCCGACAATCCCCACCGGGACATTTACCCCAGGACTTACCTCCCAGACCATTTACCCCCGGACATTTACCCCCGCGGCATTTACCCCTGGACATTTCCCAGGATCATTTACGCCCTCGAACATTTACTCCCCGACTGTTACCCCCCGGACAATTACCCCCGTGACATTTATCCCCGCGGATATACCCACAGGAACATTTATCCGGGCAAATTACCCCCAGGCATTTACTGCCCAGGAGATTATCCCAGGACATTACCCCGTCGCAATCACCCCCAGACTTTACCTCCCCGGACAATCACACACCGGATATTTACCCATCCGACCTGTATCAATTATTATTATTGTTTTTAAAGTATTAAACACAGTTTATTATCATGTATGTTGAAGCAGTGATCAGGGAGAGTCGAGAGGAGGGTAAGATGTGTGGAGGAGAGGGGAGAAGGGGAGAAGGTTGGTGAGGAGAGGGGCGAAGGATGGAGGAGATGGAGAGGAAGGAAGAGGAGGTGGAGGAGGAAAAGGAAGAGGAGGAAGAAGTGAGAGGAGGCGGAGAAAGCTGGGGAAGGAGAGGGAGAAGGTGTGATGCGGAAGGAGGGGGAAGGTGGAGAGGATGCCAAGGAGAGGAGGAGAGGAGGTGGAGGAGGAAGCAGGAGAGGGGATGGAGGGAGGAGGAGGGTGAGAAGGTGGTGGGGGAGGAGGGGGAGAAGGTGGGAGGAGGAGGAGGGGAAGTGGAGGAAGGAGAGGTAAAAGGAAAGGAGGTGGATGGAGGAGGAGAAGGAGGATGGGGAGAACGTGGAGAAGGTGGTCGGAGGACAGAGGAGGGTGAGAAAGTGAGAGAGGAGGAAGGGGAGAAGGTGAGGCAGGAGAAGGAAGAGGAGGAGAGGAAAGTGAAAGGAGAAAGTAGGAGGAGGGGAGAACGTGGGGAAACATGTGGTGAAGGAGGGGGAGGAGGGAGAAGGTGGAGGAGGAGGGCGGTAAAGAAGAGGAGGTACGGAGGGCCAAGTGGTGGAGGAAAGATGAGAGGAGGGTGAGAGGAGGAGGAGGTGAGGAGAGAAGGAGGAGAGGTAGGCGTGAGGAGAGGATGGGCAAGAAAGTGGATGGAGAAGGTGGGGAAGGAGGAGGGGAGAAGGGGGGGAGGAGAAGGAGGAGAGGAAGAAGGAGGTGAGGAGGGGAGGAGGTAAGGAGAGGCGCCTCTACTTCCTCCTCTCCTCTCCTCCATACACATTCTCCTCGCTCCTCTTCCCTCTCCTCAACACACCTGCACTTCTCTACCTTCTCTACACTCTCCTCTGCCCCTCCTAACTCTCCTCTCCCTACTTTTTCCGTCGTCTGCTCTAATCTCCTCATCCTAAGAATGTCCAGGGTAATTGTGGGCCGGGGTAATTGTCCGGCGGGTGATTGATCCGGACCAGAGGGGTCAATTGTCGTGGGTAAATTGTCCGGGGATGTGATTTGTCCCGGGGGCGTATTCCGGGTGGGAAATGTCCGGGGGTAATTGTCTGGGGCGCAATGGCACGGGGTAATTGTCCGGGGGTAATTCGGAGGTGATTGTCGGGGGTAATTTTTGTCCGATACCGATATATAATAGATAGAAAAACTAGATATGAATAGATAGAGGGAAGAGAGAGAGGAGTAGAGAATCGGCCGAGGGGGGAGATGTGAAAGTAGGTAAGTTTGCAGGATGGAGGTGGCTTAAAATACATGGAACACAAACTTCGTGTGAAAAATTGGCTCAATAAGCACATATATTAGCTTGAACATGCAATATATAATTTGTAAAATTTGCATTTCATGTACGGGTAGATGAGGGTTAGTAAGGTGGCCTGCACCCGGTTTATGGCATTGATCCAGAGTGCGAGTGAACAGATTGACTTCCCTCGATTGCTTAGCATAATATTACATAGTACTACAGAATATAAGTGATTGCGTAACATATCACTCGCAGCAACATTACGTTCTAAGAATTATGTAGCACATAGTGACACATCACCACGAACGCAAGGGGTAACCAAAGACCATATATACTTCTATAGGGTATATAGGGTCTTTGGGGGTAATTATGTGCCATGACATAAACAGTGAGTTTCTTGCTCAGCTAACCTTCATGTTTCCTAACCGCCGTGTTCTATCCTGAACAAGAAGCTTCCGTATCAAGTCCCTGTAATGACACAAATGTAACAACTCAAGAGGGGACATAATGCTGACGTTTAAAAACGAGACAGATTACACCCGCATTATCATATGACCGAATTGATTATTTCAGGGGTTAATAATGACAAATTTGTCATCATTTTGCCAAATTTGTCATTTCCCCTGATTAGTTCTTTTGGCTTCAGTTTAACAACAGCTAAACCATAAAAACGTTCTCCTTACACATAGTAACAAGCAATAATCGAGTGATATTATGCGTAAATTGAGTGCAATGTACTTTAGCATAGCTTTCTGTGCTGATGCAAGGAAATCCTCTACCCCACACACTACACCCAGTCGCACACCACTCACACCTCTTCCTACGTGAAGTGCAATTCGACTACTTAGCTTCGTTACTATGATGTAACTCTAACAGTCAACAGCTGCTTTTTATAATCGATGGGTGCCACATTCACAAATCAAACCTTTCATAAAAGATTTTACTTGATCAACACTACCGCAGAATGCAATGACGTGCATACATACGTGAGCTTGTGGTTTATTATATCTGCAAAAAAATCGTGCGCAATTTCAAACTTACTTTGCGACAAGGTCAATGTGTTTTGGCCACTCAATCACTCCTGTCAGTATCTTCTCATATATTCCAAAGGGGTTATCGTCAAAAAACGGAGGATACCTTGTAATATGAAAAAAAAGAATTCACCCATCAACCAGCAGCATGAACCATGTATACAAATTCAGTCAACTGCTTAGCATCTCGTGCCAGTTTACCAATGGAATAGATATGTAAAATGAAACAAGAATGTTGAAACTATAAATTGATATAGAAGAATATGCAAGATGATTCGCATTAATAACTATGGCTAACAAGTGCCGCAGAGCGACAGCGCTCAACTGACGTGTACTGTAGCCAGGTATTCTTCTGATAAAAACACACGGGGCAACCGAATCAAGTGCGCCCTCCTGCCACCGCGTTCGCGCTCAGACATATTATCTAGGATACTACTAATACAGATCTAAAATCTATGATAGGCTTTGGCTAATACCTACTGGTAGTACAGTAATAAAGATACAGCTGCTGTAAACTTTAATGACTTCGCTATTAACATGTTATCATGGATAGCGTTCAAGCGGAGCGTAGTGGTGTGGTGGGGGAGGGTGGGAAGGGGGTAGGAGGGGGAGGGAGGGTGGAGGGGCGGGTGAAGGGGGCTCTAATAGCAAAACAGTTCAGTTCTTTGTTAACAGGCAACAAATCCATGTTTAACCCTCCTCTTGAGGGTCAAAAGGTTATCAGACACTTACTCTTCGCACGTCAGCGAAAGGTAGATTTCATGGTCCTTTCAATAAAGTGATAAAAACGGTAGGTCAGCGCTGAAACAAAAAAGTTTTGCACTCGGTCCGTTAGACCATGTCCTCAGAAATGTCTGATATCTGACCTTTCCCAACTGCCCTTTGACCTGTGACCTCCAATTTTGCACTGGTGATGGGTTTCCTCCCCATCACACTTTACATCGAATATTAAAAGCGTAGGTCAAGCCGTTGAAATTTGTGCCACAATTCCGTATTTCCTCCTATACCTTAAGTTAAGGGGGAAATATTCCCCCTCCATTGACACATCTTGACCTTTGACCCCCCAAATTCGACATCCCGAGTCCTTTTCGCGATCCCCCCCGACGTCCCGAATATCAAGACTGTACGTCGAGCGGTTAAGATTTGTGCCCAACTGTTGACGGACGGACAGACGGACGGACAGACAGACGGACAATCATGCGATTCTACAAGAATCTAAAAACTCAGAACCGAGTAGTGTTGCTGAAATATATATCACGACTAGACAACAAATCAAACCTGGAAACTTGGCTCACCCTATAAGCATCTCGTATATAAGGATTCCTAGTGCCCACCAGTCAACGGCTTTGTTGTGGCCTTTACTCTGTATGATCTCGGGAGCCAAGTACTCTGGTGTGCCACATAACGTCCAGGTTCTACAACGTAAATGTTCACAAATGTACTCAATGTTGAATCAAAACATGTCGGATGCATCGATAGCAGAGTCGGGATGTGTGTGCACCAGCACCACGGCATGATAAACGACATAATGGATATGAAACGAGGATATCGGGTGGTTATACTTCAACCGTACCGTATATGGTACCGTATATGGTACCAACAAATTTCCGCTAGAGAATTCACAACTCATAGCTAAGAGAAAACAGCTCTTAATTCTGTTCCTCCCTTTTTACCAATCATTTGTGACCCTATTGTCTGTAATCTCGTGGTAATCGGTTAGTATATGGTGCATTCTCTCTTAAGGACGTGCAATGGAGTTTTAACATGTGTGGGTAGCAGCACTACGAGGGAAGAAGTCATTTATCTCTACACACAAAGATCTGGGTGTCAGGCGTCCTGGCACTTGAGATATTACCTGTCTTCAAGTTTCTTTGCAAATCCAAAATCTGTGATCTTAAGGTGACCTTCCTTGTCAAGCAGCAGGTTTTCCGGCTTCATGTCCCGGTAGACTATAGCGAGGGCGTGTAGATATTCGAGTGCGGACACGATCTCAGCTGCAGGAAATTGTCGCGAATCAATATTTACATCAAGCAGTGGCGCTCTTAGCTTTCTATATCCGTCGATATGAAATTAAGACGCCAGTGCGGCAACGTACCCTCTTGGGGATGAATTTCGAGAAACAGTGCGACGCTATGGTACACAGCTGACAAGACCAGGATGCTAGTGATCATAATTGATGGGATCAGGACTCAATTTAGGTCTGGCTTAGACTATCTCACGACTGAACCTCTAATAAAGATTTTATGATAGAGACGGCGGGAGATTTACTATCCCGGGTGGAGAGAAACACGCAGGATCTTTCTGCGACGTACGTACCGGTGTAGAAATTCGCTGTCGCGCTATCAAAGTTGCCAGCATGACGTAGATAGGTGAACAGCTCTCCGCCGCAAACATAATCGAACAGCATGTAGAGAAATGTGTCATCGTGAGATGTCCATAGCCTGAAGTTTGTCAAAGTAAATACTGTAGCAGTCACACATCAAAGTACAACCCGTAGTAAGGAAATCCTACAACCCACAGCACAAACCCCCAAACCAAAGGGCATAGCAAGGAATAACTCACATCAAGGAACACTCACAGCCCACAGCAATGACCACTCACAGCGAACCGCGAGAAATATAATATCACAGCAAGGAACACTCCCAGCCCCCAGCAAGGAACACTCACAGCCCACTGTGAGAAACAGGAACACTCAGAGCGCACAGCGAGGAACAATTCACAGCAAGGAACACTCACAGAGGACAGCAAGAAACACTCACAGCGCGCAGGAAGAAACACCCTCAGTCTGTCTGTTTGTATTAGAACGGTTCTTACACAAATTTCTGATAATTCACTGATCACAGGCCTTTGCCAATTTCCGTCTTTTACCTATCTAAATGCCGCTTCAAGCTGTCTTTTACACGACGAGTTCCAAATACGTAGTTATTTTATTTATTAGTGCTGCGACATCTGTCGCCTCGCGTACGGAATGACATTGCTATTCACTGTAGACGCTCTACGTCACTAGGATTAAAACTACATTTGCATAATTTCGACGATTATCATTAAGCATCATGTATCAGCTCAACGAGAGCAGCAGGAATCAAAGTCAAATCACAGCTATACATTACCCACCGAAGAGGCACACTGTTAACAGACAGACGTGTGGTTAGTTTGATAAATCGCTCTCAGTATATAACAAACGTCTAGGGCTTCATTTGTGATGCGTTGTCACATTTCCAGCTAATGCACGGTAGGGAGCCGACTCAGCCTGAATTTTTCAATATAAAATTGAAATCGAACACGCCGAATAAATGACAAGTGCTAAAGTAGATGTAAGTTATACAGCTTTTTAGAATTCTGCAATTCGTGGAGGCAGTTACGTAATACAGACAGATAACAACATACTGCGAATAGCTACAGGTACAATAATATATTCTAATTTCTAAACACAATGACTACAACGTCTACATGTAAACTTGTAGACGGCAGTGGCATCTGCAGATATCAGTAGCATTTGTAGCCAGCAGTAGCAGCTCTAACCAGCAGTAGCAGCTCTAACCAGCAGTAGCAGCCCTAGCCAGCAGTAGCAGCTCTAGCCAACAGTAGCAGCTCTAGCCAACAGTAGCAGTAGCCAGCAGTAGCAGCTCTAGCTAGCAGTAGCACTTGTAGCCAACAGTAGCACTTGTAGCCAGCAGTAGCACTTGTAGCCAGCAGTAGCAGCTCTAGCCAGCAGTAGCACTTGTAGCCAGCAGTAGCACTTGTAGCCATCAGTAGCACTTGTAGCCAGCAGTAGCAGCTTCTAGCGCAGCAGTATCATGCTCTAGCCAGCAGCAGTACCAGCAGCTAAGCAGGAGCCAGTGTAAGCCACTGTAGTAGCACTAAGCGCATAGGTAGCATTGTAGGCGCATCAGTAGCACCTTGTAGCGGCAGGCAGTAGCAGCTTGTAGCCAGCTGCCACGCACTTGTATCCAGCGCAGCAGTAGCACTTGTAGCCAGCATGGGGCAGCACTTGTAGCCAGCTGTAGCACTTGTAGCCACAGCATTAGCACTTGTAACCAACAGTAGCACCTGTAGCCAGTAGTAGCACTAAGTGTAGCCAGCAGTAGCACATGTAGCCAGCAGTAGAAGCTCTAGCCAGCAGTAGCACTTGTAACCAACAGTAGCACTTGTAGCCAGCAGTAGCAGCTCTAGCTAGCAGTAGCACTTGTAACCAACAGTAGCACTTGTAGCCAGCAGTAGCACATGTAGCCAGCAGTAGCAGCTCTAAGCTCAGTAGCACTTGTAGCAACAGTAGCACTTGTAGCCATCAGTAGCACTTGTAGCCAGCAGTAGCACTTGTAGCCAACAATAGCACTTGTAGCCAGCAGTAGCACTTGTAGCCATCAGTAGCACTTGTAGCCAGCAGTAGCACTTGTACCCAGCAGTAGCAGCTCGAACCAGCAGTAGCACTTGTAGCCAGCTGTAGCACTTGTAGCCAGCTGTAGCACTTGTAGCCACAGCATTAGCACTTGTAGCCAACAGTAGCACTTGTAGTCATATGTACAATGTTCGTACGGATGCACGACTGCTAAACATAACGTTCACGTAGTTACATCATTAAATATGTAATTAATTATGTCGATGAACACGTATTAATTATGATGTAAATGCATTAATGAGGCAACTACTCAATCAGTTACAGAAAACCATGCAATGCTGCGCGGAGCACACAACTCATGCGCATGCTGTGAAGCAGAATGCATAGGTAAATCAAAGCTACAAAACATTCTCGCATTAAAACGAAAACAGGGCGGTAGGTAATCTAATCTAATTCATACAAGCAGAAACAATTAAACCGTTTTTCTTCAGTGAACGGTGATGACAGATCACAGGAAAGTCGCGACCAATATGTATGCACGCATTAAACCGAATCAAGCTTCTCTCACACGTAGCATACATCAGACATCTAACCAGGGCGCTGTGCCTGAGTAAGGGGGAATGAGGATGAAAGGAAGTTCCGCCTAAAAATTAACATGTACTCAGCATGTACGTCTTTATAAACAAACAATAACCACGACCAATTAACAACAATAACAACGATAACAACGTAAAATAAACAGCGGAGGAGTACCGTGATTCTGAAGCGAGTGGCTGACAGCCAAAGCAAGCATCGATGCATTCACGACATTACGGGCGAACACGTGGCGCGGGAAATCGGATCAGCTGCGATCGTATGCGATCAGGATCAGTTTTATGCGTTCCTATACAGCGTTTTCACGGGTAAACTTACGTGCGAAATATATAGACTGAACCCGTAAGTCGTCCAGAGAGACAAGATACAAGATTGCGTAGCACAGCTTTGCTGTGGATCCTGAGCGCTGCGCGCAGGCATGAAGAGCGCGCAGTTCGCGCGATATGCGCACGCGACCGCGGGATGTTCAAGTATGAAGGCGCTGTTCCGCAGCTGCATATGGGAGACGTGCCGCCAAAATTCGGGCGGACGGCGCACTGTCATCCACAGCGGCTCAAGCGGATGGTCTGTAGTATTTAGAAGATGAAACAATGAAGACTTTGTTCTAAATAAGAACTATATCTGCGGCTAAATAAGAGCAATATAACAGAACTTTTTCAATTTTTTGGAGCTAGTCAGTCAAAGCGGCTATTTGGGGGTCCATATGGCAGCGAGCTTCCAATTGAAGATGGCCCATTTGAAATTGTCAAGTGTGGGAATTGTTGTATTTCGGAACACCCAAACAAAAATCGTCTCCCTCTTACATAATGCACCCGTCCCTGATCAATCACGTCAATTTCAACTGCATTCTCATGGCGTCAAACAATACAGAGTATGAAATTGTGCTTGAAGTTGTGGCTCTTTCAACGCACGTGCATTGACGTAGAAGACACTGTTGAAAGCACAGGCACTTTGGAACGTCTGCAATAAAAATTAAATATTTAACAATTTTTCAGCAATGATCCACCGCCTTAGGTGTGCAAATAAGGTTCAGCGAAAGTATGTGAAAGCATTTTACGGTTAGTACTTTACTCCTGAACATATCGGCGTGAACTAAACTGACACCACACAAATGCGTAAATGTTCCATGCACCTTAAGAATTCTGAAGAAATTACGAGTTATTCATCGAGCAAGAACTCCGAACTCCGCCCATCTGATGTCACAAAACTATAATTATAATGCTAACAAACAGGCGTGTTTTGCGAGGTGCCTGCCTCCGATATCCATTCGAGGCCGCGTTAAGCCAAGCATAAAGCGGCGCGGGCAAGAGTCACACACACAGCTAAGTTCGATTAGGCTAAAACAATCGAGTGCGACGTGTCAGGGATTTTCGGAATGCTTTAGTTTTAAGAAAAACTTCAATGTTCAATGATGAACGCACATCGTCTAACTTCGACAGCGGGGTAAAATGCGAATTTTTCCACTTCGATGCAGAAATGCAATCGGCCGCGCGTTTCTCATTATTACGAAAAGGCAAACGGTCTCGCCAAACACCTACAAGCAGTAACTGGTCACAGTCGCTTGACGCGCCCCATTAGTGTTCACTATCAACGAAGAAAGGCGAGCTTATTCTGATACGGAGATACAGAAAATGACAAACATAAAGAGGACGTAGCGCGTGCGCTAAACAGCGTTTATTTTCGTTTTGTGCCAAACTGCTATCGTAGAAACGCGTTCAGCCTAGCAGATGCCCTGGTTTCTTGAAGAATCGGCGATTCCGGTAGCTCAATGGTCGCCCACCTTTGATATATTAAATGGCAGAGGTGGCGGCGTACGCTGTGATTGGCAAGACACAAAGTGTCAATCCTCGCGCGCGCCTCCGGCATCATGGCCGCCATCAACGTCGAGATCAACACCCGAAGTAAGAGCCCGCGGTTTGCAATCTACGTACAGTACGACGGCGCAATATAACGCATATATGAATATAACATTCTATGTTTACGTGCAAATCACGTTGACTAACTGGTTAAATACTTAGCTCCAAACTGCTGTAAGATACACGTATGGTAGCAGTAATATATAACGCCGTTTCTTGAGCTACGTAATACTACACTTTTGTGTATACAAAAGATATAGGTTCATGATCTGGCTTCGTCGTAATACTCACAGATCTGACGACGAAGGGAATGCTTCACTGTCTCCAGTAATGTTCTTCTTCGTTGTTAACGTGGTTGCACCTGCCTTTAGTCTCGCACGACGTCCATCTTGCATGAATCTTCAGCGCGTTGTAGCATTTCGTTCCCCGGTCTCTACACAGCACTACCGCTGCCGAATGTTCCAGTCCCTGCAAACATTAAAACGTGAGAGGCACAGCGGTTGATACAAAGCACGCGGAGATTGAGCAATTGGATTCAAAGTCTAAATGCACATCATTGGCCACAACCTATGGTTATACTATTACACGGTCGTAGTCAGTTTATCTACCATATATAATCCATATCTATCATTCTCCGCTCTCTCTCTCACTTGCGCGGCTCAATCACTCCACGTCACGTCTTCCTCACTCAGGTAGATCTCTCTCCTCTGTCGTCTCTCTGCTCTCTCCTCGTCTCTCTCCTCAGGCCACGGAGTCGAGGTGCATAACTCGAATCTCTTCGAAAATCGAAGATCAGAAACCTCTCCTTCTCTCTCGTTCTCTCTACTCTGCTATCTATTATGCTTATATATATATATATAATAGCGCTGTCCGAATCATGGCAATCATAAGAGGGGGTAACGATTTACCTACTCTTGGTAGCATAGAGGTATACAGATCAACCTCCCAACCACACATGATCAGGGTTCAAAGCTGCTCAGGCGACACGTACAATACGGTAATAAACACGCTCCCGACGCGTACGAATGACACGAACAGGGCGACGTGAATGCTAGCTAACAAGTATCCATTAATTACTACTTGTTTCCCGACCGATCAGTAATGTGTCGCCGAGGCTACTACGCACGGACGTCGTTGTATGTTCGACATCATGGTGTGAACTAGTTCCAATGCAGGAACAAAATTATAGAACGTCGGGCGAATGTTTCGCTCACGCTTTCGCTTCTGCTCTATAATTTTGTTGTTTGTACACAGCGGCGTGCGTGCTGTGTACTTGCGTGTTGCAGAGAAGGCATTTACAGGAAATTATCGGTAATAATAAGGCGAAAGAGAGTAGAGAAACATTGAGGCTTTGGTAGTAAATACATTTCGTGTTTATTTACCATCATTTTATTATTGAAACATTCCAATTGCCCGTGGGCAGTATAGACGCGCAACACACACTAAATAACATAGTAATGAAACGTTACGAACGCGCTGTAGCGAATAAACTCTAGCGAGCACGGAGGAATGGGTGGGAGTTATATGTATTATACATATATATTAGAGGAAGGGAGGGGACCGGAGGAGGATGAGGGAGGAGTTTTAGAGAAGGAGGCAAGGAGGAGGAAGAGCATACGTGGTTAAGTAACGACTAGGGGAACGAGGAGGAGCGACGGTGGGTAGACAGCAAGGAGTGAGTAAGAAGAGGAGGGGCGAAGAGGACAATGCGGAGGAGAAAGAAGAAAAAGAATAACAAGAAGAAGAGGAGGATGATGAGGAGGTGGAGGAGGAGGAGGAGAGAGGAGGAGGAGAGGAGGAGGAGGAGGAGGAGGAGGAGGAGGAGGAAGAAGAGGATGAGCAGTCGGTGGTGGCAGCTTGCGGCGGCGACGGGAAAGGAATGAGATAGGAGGAGCAGGGGAAGGAAGAGCAAGAGGTATGCATGACAGGATAACATTTAAACCAGTTACACGCAGCAAACAGACAACACCACTGTAACAGCCGCGAAGATGCACATTGAGACTACATGCTAGCTCCTGTTGGCACGCTGGTGTCAAGGTAGAAGCATGTCATAAAATGCAAGGTAGAAGAATATATGCACATGAGATAATCGCATGTGCATTGCGTAGCAAATGGATGGGTTTATGTATTGGGCCCTATAGCCAGAGGCTGCCTTTATTCGTAAGACAGCTCTAGCGTACAGCATTTCGCTCTAGATCTGTCACAGCTTGTGGCAGTGCGAAATACTATATAACCATATATAAGGTGTATACCACCATACATAACCATTTATAACATCAATATATAATGTGTCGCATAACCCACGATGCAACCAAGCAGAAGTGATTAATATGTAGTCGCTAGAGTATTTATTATAATTTAATTATTTATAATTTATAATTTATATAATTTATATAGGAGTAAGTTATTTATCATATACATTGTGCTGTTTTCGGCTCAGCAAAGGATTAATACACTCATTAATCATTATTCTCTCTCTCTCCCATTTCCTTGTTCCATTTTCTCTCCCTTTCTGTGTCTGTATCTTTCTCGCGCTCTCTTGTTCTGTGTCGCTCTTTATCTCGCTCCCTCGCTCTCTCCCCCTGTCTCACTCTCTCTTCTGTCTGTCTGTCTGTCTGTCTGTCTGTCTGTCTGTCTGTCTGTCTGTCTGTCTGTCTGTCTGTCTGTCTGTCTGCCATGTCTGTCGCTGTCTGTCTGTCTGTCTGGTCTGTCTGTCTGCCTGCCTGCCTGTCTGTCTGTCTGTCTGTCTGTCTGTCTGTCTGTCTGTCTGTCTGTGTGTGTGTGTGTGTGTGTGTGTGTGTGTGTGTGTGTGTGTGTGTGTGTGTGTGTGTGTGTGTGTGTGTGTGTGTGTGTGTGTGTCTCTCGCTCTCTCGCCCTCCCTCATTCCCTTCCTCCCTCCTCGTCGATCCTTTATTGTCTCTCTCTGCTCTCTCTCTCTGGCTTCTTTCTCTACTCTCTCTGCTTTCTCTATATATATATATATATATATATATATATATATATACATATATCAAGAGCTAATAACACCATACTCATATTAAGGAATTAATAATTAGCTCTTGATATATAGATATCGTCAAGAGCTAATAAATACCTTAGGTATTTACTCAGGTGTTTATTAGCTACTCTAGGTGTTTATTAGCTCTTGATATCGTACATAATATGTACGATATCTATATATCTAGAGCTAATAATACCTTTAGTTTTAATATGAGTATGGTGTTGTTTGCTATTATAAGTATATATATGATACTAACTGGCAAGGGCACGTTGATCCTATCCACGGCACGCAGTAGCAGGTTGCTGATCGTTATATATTGATGCATATACCGATATATACGATATATACGATCAAGAGTGTCATAATACAGAAATAGAAATATAGAAATAGGAATGTCTATATTATGACACTCCTGATATGATTACATCATCCTCCCATAATATATATATATATATAATACTAGCTTGGTACCCGGCGTTGCTCGGGGAAAAACGCTTAGGAACAACTTTTACGAGAAAATTCAGCCACATATGCTTACTTAATTCTAAAATATTTTCACCCCCCTTCACCCATGATACGATCCCCATCAGAATGGAAAGAGAAGCGTACTGGTTTCACAATGAATCTAAACACTATCCAGCCACACGGACTCAATCTACGGGTTACGGTAGAGATTCCAGGATGGATAGAAGACCATAATTAGTAATCACCCTCCCACCAGCATGGCATACACGCAAGACTAATTCTCAGCCGACACTCTAGGGTAGCGGGTGGCTCGGTTTACCTTTATGTAACTTTTTTTACTTAATTCTAAGGATAGAATCGTTAAGAGAAACAAACAATAAGCAATATTCTGACAACAACAGTTCGAACGATTCTATGATTCTGTGTAGTCAAAGCTTCTGGATTTACAACATTGTTATGAAATTGCGCCAAGTTATTATGAAGTTATGAACTAGCGGGATACCCGGCGTTGCCCGGGGAAATCAGTGGCTTTACTCAGTTGGTGACCGCTTGGTTGAAAGGAAAATACCCAAAAAAATCCAACTATCTATCTATCCATGCATCGATCTATGCATCCATCCATGCATCCATCCATGCCATGCCATGCCATGCCATGCCATCCCATCACATGCCATCGCATGCCATCCCATGCCATGCCATCCCATGCCATCCCATCCCAAACAGTAAAAAACAATAAGAAATCAAAAGAAAAAAGACATTAAAAATTAAAAATTAAAATTAAAAAGTAAGAAATTAAAAATAATACAAACAAAAGAGGTAGGTAAAGGGAAAAAAATGAAAAAAGGGGAAAATAAGTTCCCCAGCTGGGACTCGAACCCGGAATTCCGGTTGTAGGAGACGGATGTTCTAGCGATTAGGCTACTGCACCACTAAGGGTAAATCCATGGAGTCACACGTACGTGATGTTAATCTGTAGGTACGCACCGCCATTTCAGTCAGAACCACCTCCCAGACGTGCTGATTCCGAAAATATCTTTAGTTTTACTCTAGGCTGCGGAGTAATTCTCTAGTTATGCGAGTACGAACTATAAGTTATAACTATATATATACTAAGCCACTTCGTAGTTACGCATTGAGCATGCGCGAGATTCTGGCGTGAACTTTTGCCAAAGGTCAATTGTACATAACCCGCTCGCTGTGTCTCCGTTGCGTGTGATAGCAAGTGGAACCGTACGACTATGTACTGTATTTGTCCAAGTTTGAAATAAAATCACAACAGTCGTTGAGCGCCACCATTAGTGTCAAGTCAACGAAGAAAGGCGAGGCCTTTATTTCTGATTAGCGGAGTTACGAAAATGCAACTTAAGGACGTAGCGCAGTGCGCTAGACAGCGTGTGTATTTTCGTTTTGTGCCAAACTGCTATCCGTAGGAAACGCGTCTAGCCTAAGCAGAATGCCCTGGTTTCTTGATGATCGGCGATTCCGGTAGCTCAATGGTCGCCCACCTTTGATAATTAAATGAGAGGTTGGGCGGCGTACGACTGTGATTGGCAAAGACACAAAGTGTCAATCCTCGCGCGCCCTCCGGACATCATGGCCGCATCAACGTCGAGATCAACACGCCGGAAGTAAAGCCCGCGGTTTGCAATCTACGTACAGCTACACGGCGCAATATAACGCAATATATAATATAACATATCTAATGTTTACGTGCAAATACGTTGACGGTTAACTGGTTAAATACTTAGCTCCCAAACGCTGTAAGATACACGTATGGTAGCAGTAATATATAAGCCGTTTCTTGAGCTAGTAAATACTACACATTTTGTGTATACAAAAGATATAGGTTCATGATCTGGCTTCGTCGTAATACTCACAGATTGACGAGGAAGGGATGCTTCACTGTCTCCAGTAATGTTCTTCTCGTTGTTAAAAAGTGTTGCACACTGCCTTTAGTCGCACGACGTCGCCTATTGGCCATGAATCTTCAGCGCGTTGTAGCATTTCGTTCCCCGGTCTCTACACAGCACTACCGGCTGCCGAATGTTCCAGTCCCTGCAAACATAACGTGAGGGCACAGCGGTGATAAAATGCACGCGGGATTGAGATTGGAATTACATAAGTCAAATGCACTATCATTGGGCACAGACCCTCATGGTTTATACTATACACGTCGTAGTCAGTTTATCTACAATATATATCCATATCTATCATTGCTGCCGTCTTCTCTCTCGTCACTTGCGCGCGCCTCACAAATCACCTCCACGTCACGTCTCTCTCTCTGCTCTCATGGGGTAGGATCTCTCTCTCAGATCGTCTCTCTGCTCTCTCTCGTCTCTGCTCCCAGGAGGCCGAAACGGGAGGTGAGGTGAGACATAAAGAGGACGTGAATTCGAATTGAAAAATGAAGCGGAAAGAGAGTAGAAAACCTCTCTCTTCATCTCTCGTCTCATCTCTATCTCTGCTTTCTCTCGTCTGCTCTATATAATATATATATAATAGCGCTGTCCGAATCATGGCAATCCATGAAGAGGGGGTAACGATTATACCTACTGCTTGGTGGCATTAGAGTATTACACACAGGTCAACCTCGCCACGCACACATGATCAGCGGTTCAAAGGCGCTCCAGCAGGCACAACGTTGCAATACGGTAATGAAACCACGCTCCGCCGACGCGTACGGAATGAACACAGAACAGGGCGACGTGAATGCTAAACAATTCCATCTAATTACTAGCTTGTTTCCGCGACCAGATCAGTAATGTGTCGCCGAGTGCACTACGCACGGACGTCGTTGTAATGTTCGCATGCATGGTGTGAACAGGTTCGCAATGCAGGAACAAGAATTATAGAACGTCGGGTGCGAATGTTTCGCTCACATTGCTTTCCGCTTGCTGCTCTATAATTTGTTGTTTTGTACACCAGGCGGCGTGCGTGCTGTGTACTTGCGTGTTGCAGAGAAGGCAATTTACAGGAAATATCGGTAATTAATAAGGCGAAAAGAGAGTAGAAGAAACATTGAGGGCTTTGGTAGTAAATACATTTCCGTGTTATGTTACCATGCAACTTTTTATTATTGAAACATTCCAATTGCCGCCGCGTGGCAGTATAGACGCGGCAACACACACTAAATAACATAGTAATGAAACGTTACGAACGCGCTGTAGGCGAATAAACTCATAGCGAGCACGGAGGAATGGGTGGGAGTTATACTGTATTATACATAGTATATTAGAGAAGGGAGGGCGACGGCGGAAGGAGGATGAGGGAGGAGTTTTAGAGAAAGGAGGTAAGGAAGGAGGAAGAGCATACGTGGTTAAAGTAAGCGACTAGGGGAAACGAGGAGGACGACGGTGGTAGAACAGCAAGGAGTGAGTAAAGAAGAGAGGGGCGAAAGAGGACAATCGGAGGCGAGAAGAAGAAAGAATAATAACAAGAAGAAAGAGGAGGATGATGAGGAGGTGAAGGAGGAGGAGGAGAAAGGAGGAGAGAGGAGGAGAGGAGGAGGAGCGGAGGAAGGAGGAGGAAGAAGAGGATGAGGCAGACTCGGTGGTGGCAGCTTGCGGCGGCGACGGGAAAGGACAATGAGATAGGAGGAGGGCCAGGGGGAAGGAGAGGCAGAGGTATCATGACAGGATAATAACATTTAAACCAGTTACAGCGCGAGCAAACAGAACAAACACCACTGTAGGCCGCGAAGATGCACATTGAGACTAATAGCTAGCTGGCCTGTTGACGCTGGTGTCAAGGTAGAAGGGACTGTCAGTAAACTGCAAGGTAGAAGAATATATGCACATGAGATAATCAGGCATGTGCCATTGCGTAGCAAATGGAATGGTTTATGTATTGGTCCCTATAGGCCAGGGCTGGCCGTTTATTCGTAAGAACAGCTCTAGCAGTACAGCATTGCGCTCTAATGATCTGTCACAGAGCTTGTGGCAGTGCGAAATACTATATAAGCCATATATAAGGTGTATACGCAACCATACATAACCATTGTATAACATCAATATATAATTGTCGCATAACGCCACGATGGCAAGCCAAGCAGGAGTGATTAATTTATGTCAGTCGGCTAGAGTATTTATTTATAATATTAATTATTTTTATAATTTAATAATTTAATAATTTATATAGGAGTAAGTTATCTTATGCATATACATTGATGGTGTTTTCGGCTCAGCAAAGGATTAATAGCACATCATTAATCATTATTCTCTCTCTCTCCATTTCGCCGTTGTTCATTTTCTGCTCCCTTTCTGTGTCTTGTATCTTCTCGGCGCTCGTCTTGTTCTGTGTCGCTCTTGATATCTCGCTCCCTCGCTCTCTCCCCCTGTCCTCACTCTCTCTCTGTGCTGTCTGTCTGTTCTGTCTGTCTGTCTGTCCCTGTCTGTCCTGTCTGTCTGTCTGTCTGTGCTGTCTGTCTGTCTGCACATGTCTGTCCTGTCTGTCTGTCTGTCTGGTCTGTCTGTCCTGGCCTGCCTGCCTGTCTGTCTGTCTGTCTGTCTGTCTGTCTGTCTGTCTGTCTAGTCTGTGTGTGGTGTGTGTGTGTGTGTGTGTGTGTGTGTGTGTGTGTGTGTGTGTGTGTGTGTGTGTGTGTGTATGTGTGTGTCCTCTCGCTCTCCCTCGCTCTCACTCGCGCCTCGCCTCATTCCCGTTGCGCTCCCTGCCTCGCGATGCCTTTATGTGCTCTCTGCTCTCTCTCTCTGGCTTTTTCCTCGTACTCATCTCTGCTTGGGATATGCGCACGCGACCGCGGGGATGTTCAAGTATGAAGCGCTGTCCGCAGTGCATGGAGACGTGCGCCAAATTCGGGGCACGGCGCACGTCTCCACAGCGGTCAGCGGATGGTCTGTAGTTTTAGAAGATGACAATGAAGACTTTGTTCTAAATAAGAACTATATCGGCGGCTAAATAAGAGCAATATACAGACCTTTCAATTTTTTGACTAGTCAGTCAAAGGGCTTATTGGGGGTCCATTATGCAGAGCTTCCAATTGAAATGGCCCATGAAATTGTCAAGTGGAATTGTGTTTTTCGGAACCCCAAACAAAAATGTCTCCCTCTTACATATGCACCCCTCCCTGATCAATCACGCATTCACTGCCATTCAGGCGTAAACAATAACAGAGATGAAATTGTGTTGAGTTTGTGGCTCTTGACGCACGTGCATTGACGTAGAAGACTGTTGAAAGCACAGGCACTTGGAACGTCTCAATAAAAATAAATATTTACACAATTTTTCACAATGATCCACCGCCTGTGTGCAAAATAGGTTCACGAACGTATGTGAAACATTTACGGTTAGTACTTACTGTAACATATCCGTGACTAACTGACACCACAAAATTGGTAAAATGTTCCATGCACCTTAAGAAATTCTGAGAAATTACGAGGTTATCATCGCAGAACTCCCGACTCCGCCCATCCTGATGTCACAAAACTATAATTATATGTAAACAAACAGGCGTGTTGCGAGGTGCCTGCCTCCGATATCCATTTCGAGGCCCGTTAAGCCAAGCATAAAGCGCGCGGGCAAGACGTCACACACACAGCTACGTTCATTGGCTAAAACAATCGAGTAGCGCGGTCAGGGATTTTCGGAATTCTTTAGTTTTAAGAAAAACTTCAATGTTCAATGAATGACGCACTCGTTCACTTCCGAAAGCGGGTAAAAATGCCGAATTTTTCCACTTCGATGCAAAATGCATCGGCCGGGCCTTTCATTATTTACGAAAAGCAAACGGTCTCGCCAAACACCTACAAGCAGTAACTGGTCCGGCCCCATTCGTGTCATCAACGAAGAAGGGAGGCTTTTCGGGATTAGGGAATACGAACAATGAATTAAAGGACCGTAGCGCAGTGCGCTAAACAGGTGTTATTTTCGTTTT